AGTTGTCCCCATCTATCCCAAAAAGTGATTACCTACTTATAGAAGAAATTCATATAATTATTACTGTGTAACTAAAGCCGGGTCCACACTAGGACGAACATTGTTGTCGAACATGTTCGATGAGAATGTTTTCTGACTCGGCGAACCAGTGCATTGAAATGTTCGACAACAGTGTTCGTTCAACTTACACAAAGATTTCCCGCCTTGGCAACTTAAACATTCCCCCTCGTATTATTTATTTTTATATTAGTAGGTACTTATATCTATTGCAGTGTGGACGTGTAATTGCCAGTATTTTTTAAAAATATTTATAAGTTTTAATTTTTTTTTCAATATGAGTGACGAATATATAATAATTACAAGTGCAGCTTTTGTTTTTACATCGTTAGTTTCTCGAGTAAAAAAAAAAATAAATCTAAATTTAAGATTTGAAATTGTAATAGAAGATTCTTCATAAGTTTGTCTACTTTAATTAAAAAAAAAAAAAACGTCTACAAGAAACTCAAATTAAATTTTTATGGGCGTTTGAAATTCATATTTTTACAACATTTGATATCTAGACACGCGGTAGCGTGTCAAGCCAAGTTCTAGCTAACAGAACTGGCGAGCAGCACCGTGTGTAATATTACACGAACCATTTGGAGCCACTTTTGACCAACTCATAACTCAAAAACTATTTCACATAAACATGTCAAATTTGGCTCATATATTGAGACTAACGAGATACATATGTGCTCTAAATTTCATAAACACACTTCAAACCGTTATTTAGATATTAACGTCCGAAAATCGTCATTTTTATCACTGACTTACCTATAGATCAAAATTCTAACCCAGTTCCAGATGACCTAGAAAGTTCAAATTTGGCATACAGATAGGTAGTTAGGTAAATACAAAGGAAAAAATCAGAAACTTGAAAATTTTTAATTTAAAATTTTTTAATTTTTAATTTTTAATTTTTAAATTTTTAATTTTTTAATTAATTGATTTTATTATAATTTTGCAATTATTTTATCTATTATGTTTAATTTTTCAATTTATTAATGAATTGCCTCTAATTTAATGTAATGTAATATAATGTTGACTTAAATAACCTTTCCCGTATCGCCGCTCCAAAAATACGACTAGCCGAATATGTGTCGATATTGTCGACCCGCGCGCAGCAACATACTTTTTTTTCTATCTATGTATGTAATTAATATTATTTTTTTTAAATATTACAATTAAAATAATTAAATAATTATTCTTACAAATTATGAATTATCCACCCAACAGTAGAAACTACAGTCAATAAAATTATGATAATTAAAAATATACTCAAAAAGAGTTAAAATAATTGTATATTAATTTTACATATATTTTATACTCTGTATATACAACGGAAAATATTTTATAATAAATATTATTATTAATATTAGTAACTGAATTATATTATATAGTAATAAACTTTATTTATAGAATACGTCATGGCTAGGTTAGGTTAGGTTATAATAATTTACATACAAAAAGTAATGATATCCCACCAAAAACATATATGTAAAATGAGAGCCAAGTTCAATACTATAATATATGCCTTGGTTGCTGACTTCAACGACAAAAGAAGTGAGATCTAAATGGGTGCCAAGTTAGGATAATATATTGAAGCCTAAGGTCTGACTTGGCTACGAATTATATATTGTAGCATTTGCAAGTTCTAAAGCTTTGAGTTCTTATTTTATTCTTCGGAAAATCATCTTCACTCTTCCATTACTGTTTTAGTAGGTACTTATAATAATAATTCGTATATGAAAAGTAGCCAAGTCACACCTTAGGCTTCAATATATTATCCTAACTTGGCACCCATTTAGATCTCACTTCTTTTGTCGTTGAAGTCAGCAACCAAGGCATATATTATAGTATTGAACTTGGCTCTCATTTTACATATATGTTTTTGGTGGGATTCACTCGATTTCTCTTGTAACGATTTTCTTATTTTATTGTAATTAAAAAACAAATGACTGTAGATACTTGAAAATTTCACTGAATGTTTATATTAGCATTTTCTATACACCATACAATTTTGAAAATAGTTTGACTCTTTTTGAGCTGTTTACGGACATTGTCAGTTTTCCATATTATTAGTTTTTTTTTCCATAAATATCAATGAAATTTTATTTGTTGGGTAAAAAAGCGTGAAATATTGTTACAATAGCAGTTGAAAAATATTAAAAATACATAGGTACAAATTTTTTTTATAAGCATTTAAAGTTCAAATTTTGACAAAATTTATCACATTTAAAATTTAATAATAATTTTGTAGTTAAAAAAGTATAAAATGTTCAACTTTTATAGCTAAGGATTGAAAATACAGAAGAGCGACATCGACTTTTTTTTTTTAGACTTTTGAACATTGATAACTTGGTGCATTATGAATAAATCCTTCTTTAATGAACTCTAATTATTTTGAATAGATTTTTCTGTTTCAGAATCTATAGATTGTAGTTTGCTTTCTTTGCTGTTTTCCCACTTAATAATATTTTTTTGATTTCTAAAATGAATTTGCTTGCTGGTGCCAACACCCCCTTCAATTTTTTTCAAAACTATTTTAATTATTGTTGAATTTTTTTGTAGTGATTTTTAAAAATCGATAAATTGAAAAATCATTTTATAATTGCCTAATTACTGAGAATTGTTTTTTCTGTATAAGATTTTGGACATTTTAGTTTAAACTCCTTAATGTGTGTTAATGTGTCTTAACTGTTAATACTATATAATTTTTTCTAAAATGCATTTGGCTGCGGCCGCCCACACCTCCTTTTCGATTTTTTTTTATGAATAAAACTTTACTCTTTAGGTTATTAATTTGTATACATTTTTTAAACATTGACTACCTGATGCTCTCTTAATAATCGTTCTTTGATTAACTTATTATTGTGAATAGTTTTTTCTGCTTATAGTTCTAGATATTTTAGTTTATTTTTTTTTCAAATTTTTTTCTTGTTTCCTTAAATGCATTTGCTTGCGGGCGCCAACACCCTCTTTCAATTTTTTTTTATGATTTTAACTCTAGTTGAATTTTTTAAACATTGACTACCTGATGCCCTCTTAATAATTATTATTTAATGAACTAATTTTTGTGAATAGTATTTTCTGTGTAAGATTCTTGATATTTTAGTATAGAGTCTTTATACTGTTCTAGCTTCAGAAAATCATAAAAACTTATTGTGGAAGTTGCTAACAGTAAAATTAAAAAAAGTTGATCTGCTTTAAAACTTGGTCTTCGAAACACATTTCACTTTACTTAATATGATATAGCAATATAGGGGTAGGGGTACCTACCTACCTATTATTCCCAGTTGGCAAATTTTCACTGAAGAATACCATCTCTGAAATAACACGCGGCCCCCAGTAATATATTCAACAATATTCTTATGAGTTATGACCTATGCCACACCAATACTACATAAGTCGATCCTAAAATATACCCTCGACCTCAGTAGATCTTAATCAAAAAAAGTTTGGCCACCCCCGGTGCACAGTAGACTGCATGTCTAGCGTCTGACGGTCTGAGGATAATATTCTCAAGTCTTGCTTAATTTTCTAAAAGAAATAACTATTATTGTTTTTGTAGTGGGTGACTTTTGTCTTCAAAATAGTAATATATTTATTTTGTGAAACAAATGAAAATTATTAAAATGAAAATTTGTTTGTTATCATTAACACTCCTCCCTCGACCCTTATTATACCAAGGTGATGGTCTAGAACTTAAAGTAGATAAAGGCTTTTGAAAGACTTTTTTTTGAGCACCCTATAATGGCCGATACCCTATTATCCTAAACTTTTTCATTCAAATTGTTAAAATTTTGTTAGGCAGTTTAAAGTGTTAATGTGTTATACCTTATACCCTCAACTAATTTGATGGGAACATCCGAACATCACTGGATATAAGGAAGCATAATATTCAAATATAATGTGTAAGTCTAAATGTGTCTAAGATTTCTGTTAAGGATTTTAAGTGTAAAGTGGGTGCTCTCGTTAAAATTCAGAACTTGATAGATTGAAAAGTTTAGATTATGTACGTTGGATTCTTTAATGTTAGGTATCTTAAATGTGTATGCCGTATTGTTGCAAGAACAATTTGACATTAATAAATATATGTACAGGATTTGCTACCTGTCAATGGAATTAATCAACTGGTATTAAGCTTTGAATTTTCTAAACAATAAAATAGCGTTATATTTTTGGATCTTATGATAAGTTCTCCAATAGTAGGTATCTATAAAAGTAGAGAGTAGGTACTTCGTGAAAAATCTGAGAAAATATGAACTATAAAAAGTGTCCGTGCCCCCGTGTATTAGGTTTGATTAACATCTTCTGTATCTACCTACCTAACCTGTAGAGGTAGATCAGAAATTAAATATTCCTTGGATTTCTTGACCTATATTAATTAAGTAAGTGGGCAACTAATTACAATAAATTATTGGTTTAAAATTTAATTAAAGAAAAAAAATGTTATATAATATACCTAAATATCTTCCTAACTATGTTTTATTCATAAATATAACAACCTACCTACACTTTATTTTTATATCTTTATATAATCTGTAAAAAAATCTATAAAATAAATTATTTGAGTGTATAATATACTATAGTCTACTATACTTTATGTTTAACATAGTGTCTGTAATATCCTATATGGTATATAGCATTTTACATATTATTATAATAGGTTATGGAGGGGTTAAAGGTAAAAATACAAACTTAATTTTAGATTGTTAATGGTATGCCCACATCAAACCCACACATGCCTCATTGGCTATTGCACCATTGCCTCTCATGACTTATTGCACATAAACATAATATATAATGTAGACATGTAGGTGGTTATTTTTTTTTTTTTTTAGTGAATCCTGTTGTATACTTGGGCATATCTGGCTATGTTAATAAAAATTTTGTTGAAAAACAACACACTTTTTTAGTAGGCATCACAATAATTTTATTTGATTTTGAACACATTTTTCATGGATCAAGAAGAAGAAATATCTCAAACATCAACATGCGATGTTGCAGCGTCCAAGAGGTTAATACATTTATTACCAATGTTAAAAAAAACTAATAAATTGTTTGAATTGTGTGGTTTATGTTAGTCGCTTGTTGAGTAATGAACATGTTCAAAAGAATCACAAATCTACAATTGTCGACAGACGTGTGCTCAAACATTATGGCCGCAGGATGAAATTGAACTGCAGACATGGGTATAATATTTTAATACTTCAAAATGGAATAGTATCCAGTTCTGATGATGACATAGACAGCCATTGTATAATGGAATTCACATCGATGTCTCCTGGTCATGTCCGTATTAGAGGAGTTGAAGCCAATTTGTTTTTGGCTATGAATAAAGATGGACTTCTTTATGGAGAAGTGGGAATACTATTTAATAGTTTTATTTAAATATTTTTAATTTCTATTAATTTTTAGGCTGATCCTAACAATAATTCAACAATTTTCATCGAACAACCAGAAGGTCCTTACAGTGCATACCTATCTTTGAAATATCAACGAAAAAAATGGTATGTGGCTATAAAAAAAAATGGCAAAATAAAATTAGGTCCAACAACTAAAAGAGGACAACATGCTACACATTTTTTAACAATTTTGGTATAGGTAATATTCATAATACATTCTTCAATTTTCTTAAATACAATTATAATATTATAGAATAAAATATATCAATAGGTACCTATGTATTATAATATACCTATTGGCTATTGGCTATTTATTATATTTTATAGAACATTTATATATAAATACTATATTATACACTGTAGTAAACTTTAAATCTAGTTTTTTTTTTAAATTAATAACATTTATTTTTAAGTAAAATTTTATTTTATATAGCACATAATACAGGTATAACATTATTTTATACATTTATAATATGAAAACAGTATTAAACAATAATAGTTATTTTTAGTGAAGAAGTCTAAGCACTTTAAATCCAATGCAATAAAGGCTAAGCTAGTATTATAATGTTACTACTTTAAGTATTATTAAACTAGTCAGTATATTTACTTTGTGTTGAAAGATTCCTCATTATGGTTTTAAAATAAATAAATGCAATTTTTTTTAAAATAAAAAAATATGCATTGCATTATTTTGTTTTGTATTTGTATTAGTTTTAAAAGAGAGTTGTCAGTTAGCAACACCTAGCAATTTTCATCCAGTACCCCACCATTTAACAAGTGGCAACATTATCGTGTGGTTCTTGACGTGCCAAAGTAAAAACGGATTGTTGTCTTTTTGAATAGAGTATTATAGTCATCAGTATATCATGGAAAAATAAGACAATATTGAATATAAGATATTTAAATTTAAATCTAAAATTCTATAATTTCAAATAATAACAATTATAATAAATTAAAATTAAAACTAAAGCAATAATCTAACATTTTGAGTAAATACCTACATTTCAATTAAATTAGTTAAATACTGATAATGAGATACATACTTTATTTTTAATAGCTTATGCTATTTGTACATTATAAATAATAAGAAATTAAAAAAAAAATATATCCATAATTTTCATAACAATATACTGAATAATATATTGATACATAATATTATGAATGGAATGTGTTATAAATTAAAAATAATTCAAAATAAAACAATATGTTTAACATAAATAGAATAGAAACACTTTATACATTTTTCTTTTGTTGTAAATTATTCTCACGAAGTAGATATAGTAAGAATAAGATTAAAAATTAACTTTTTCAATAAATTATTAGTTTTAACAAATAGAGTCTAGTATAACTGCATTAAAAAATAAAAAATGTTAACTTAGATTTAATATATTAAATGAAACTAAATTAATAATTTTTTTTTGTATGTAGTGTTATAGAATTGAGATTAAAAAAGATGATAAAGCTGTGCGTATTGTATTAATTTTAGTTAAATTAATTTGCATTGTTTATGGCAGCAAATAAAAATAATATAATCTATGTTTCATTTCTTTTTCACTCTTGGAGAAGTAGTCTGAAATACACTAGACGCAGACATAAGATTTTCAATATATTGGCCAAGAACTTGATTTTCAGATCGCAGTTTCAAATTTTCTTCTTTTACACTATCCACACGTTGAGATAAATCTAAAAAATTTATTTTATATTTAATAAACCTTAATTATGTACTTATTTAAATTTTTCGGTACTTCCGGGTTATCTCGACTACCCAAATATTCCCAAGACTACCTGTTGGAATCATCCGGGTTATCTTGACTACCTCCATAAACCGTAATTTATTAATAAATATATATTCCCGCGTTGTAATCTGTATCATTGTAATGTACAATATTTAATTTTGTTTTCGATGTACAATGGTGGTTTTTATTTCGTCAGTCATTCGACAATCGTCCTATTTTCCGTATTAGCGCTATGTCTAGTTAAATATATCGTTTAGTCAATATGAATTTTTTTAATTTGCCATCATCCGAGAAGGAGGCTGTTAATTTTCTCCAAGAACGCGGAGTGTTGCCAAGTGCACGGATTTGTCCAAACAATCACTTGTCAAAATTGTATTTTGGAAAAGAAATCTTTTGGAAATGTAATATTAAAAAATGCCAAAAAAAAGGTAAATATACGTAATGGTAATTGGTTTGCGAAATCACGAATATCGTGTACGACTGTTGTGCGATTTATATATGGGTGGTCAAATGAAATGACTAGTATTAAGTGGTGTGAACAAGAACTTAATATAAGTGAAAATACAGTTATTGACTGGAATAATTACATACGTGAAGTATGTGCAATGGCGATTGAAAATAAACCACAGGGGAAAATTGTCGAAATTGATAAAAGTTTGTTTTCGAAAAGAAAAAACCATGTTGGGAGGATACTTCCCGAACAGTGGATATTCGGAGGAATTTGTCGCGAGACAAAAGAGTCATTTTTATTAAAAGTACATGACAGAAAAACAGGAACTTTACTTATGGCGATCAAAAACAACATTCAGGAAGGTACCACGATCTATTCAGATTGTTGGTGTGCATATAACACCGAATTATTAAAATCATCCGGCTTCAATCACTATACTGTCAATCATACATACAATTTTGTTGACCCAACCACAGGAGCACACACCCAAACAATTGAACGCCTTTGGGGATCGGCAAAGTGGCGAAACAAACAACATAGGGGAACAGCTCGCCATCATCTAGATTCATACCTGACTGAATTTATTGAAGTACTGAAATTTTTATTTATTTTTTATATTATATTATATTATTACAATTTTTATATTATATTATATTATTACAATTTTTTCTATACACATTTTTATGCCATTTTATCGTGTTTCAAAATAGATTTATATTATTATTCAAAATAGATTTAACCTATATATTTTATATATTTTTATAATTTAAAAAATTTCGGTAGTCGAAATAACACGGTTGATCATATAATAGGTAGTCTTGGAAATATTTTGGTAGTCGAGGTAACACGGTTGTGAACCTAAAGTAGTCGAGATAACACGGTTGTGAACCTAAAGTAGTCGAGATAACACGGAAGTACCAATTTTTCTATGCTATGTACTTAAATATTATATGCAAATCGTGTTTACCATCTAATGTGTTTTGTAGTTCTAAAACTTGTGTAATAAGCCTGGCTTTTTCTTCTAATTCATCAGGGCTCATATCACGATCTAAACCTATAAAAGGCAAACAAATATTTAGACTGATAGTGTAGTATAAATAATTGAACTTTGAACAATCTACTTAAGGTTGAATATTGTTAAACAAGGATTGCCATTTATTCAAAATTAAAATTCAGGACACTAGTCTGAATGATATCTATAACTCATTTGTCGTATAATTATTAGAAAATATAGAAATAGAACAATACAGCCTAGTACCTTACTTGCCCGTCTCTTATTGATGTATACAAATAAACTTACTAAAACGCCAATGATTTCGACAAAAACATATTTTGGTTATTGAGTAGATAAAGATATATTAAAACACGGGACTAATTTTTAGAAAGCGGTATTGTTCCGGTGAAATCAGAACAAGTGGCAACCCTATAATGTACATAGAACACTCACTGTTTCTGCTTGGACTATTACTACCATTTGTAAACGACGACTGTAATGAGTCCATACTTTGATTGCGCACAATGACATCGGAGCATTGAGATATGTCCTGATCATCATGGATAATGGCTGTGATGAAAATTTAAAATTGAAGCAAACACCAATGCGGGATCGAAGTAGTAACAATTTAGCAAATCTACAGTTCAAAATAACATACCTTGAGGGTCATCATCTGCCAAAGGGATACTGTCTTCCGGCGACTTGTCTCTGTCTTCTTCCATCGTAGATACTTATACGATGCACGTACACGTCCTTATACTAATACATCTGTTACCTCGGAAGAAAGGGATCAGGTATACTTAGGAAGTGTAGAAAAAAATATAAAATCGGTAAATACTAAATCACCAAAAAACGTACAACCACAGTAAACATAATTTAATATAGCCTATATAGGTGAGTATACCTATTATAATATTTTAATATTTTATTTACATTTTTGTCGATAATCGCAAATTTCTAGATATCGTGCGATAGCGATAAAAGAATATGATATCACGCAGTTGTGGCAACAGTAACACAGTCGTCATTGCCAACGCAACGAGAGAACAAAAACAAAATATTATTTTTGCGCTCGAAATCACAATGACATAATCTGCTGCTGTTGCTGTACGACGAAGAACAATAATATAATAATAATAATTAATAAATATTAATATTAAATATCGAAATCCGAGTTTCCGACTGCAATAATAATACTGCCGTTCGTGTGTTTGTGTCGTCTTATTTTTAGTTTCTTCAGTCGGTGGCTTTCAGTGCGGTAGACCGTTCTCGCCGAAAACACGGCGATCGAAACGATCTACAAATTATAATATTTATCACGCTAGATCTCAGGGTAAGTGCCATCATAAAATATATTATGTCTTGCAAGTATTGTCTGTTAAGACTCGGCGAGGATACAGCTAATATATAGGTCATGAATAGTAAGATATCCAGGCCGTTTGTCTCATTTCGGAAAATTCGGTGGGTCTGATAGACTGTCCCACTCACTGACATCCAACGGGTTCTCGACTGGATGTCCTTGTTATTCGTGCTTATCCCCGAATCACGTCGAGTAATTGCACCTGCGTTTTTAAACATAACAATTGTTATTCATTCAGAGGATACCGTCACAAATGTCATGGCTGTATTCGACGACATACAGCAGTATGATGAGGAGATTGCATGCACGTCTATGGATGAAGCGTATCTAATGCATGTTCAAGACCCGATATTAATCCGAGGAATTGGCAATCTCACTGTGTAAGTAATGACATGTTCTGGGCTCAAGATTGATGATTTACTGTCGTGTTCATTCAAAAGTTTGTTGCACTATCTCGTTAATTGCAGTTTTATATTCTTATTAATATACTTATATCTCTAAAATAACTATTCTAAAAAAATGTGTGTAGTTTATTTTATGGAGGTAGTTTAAACATTTTAAATTTATAATCTTTTATAAAGGAAATTTGGTCATTGTCAAATGTAAGTACTAGGTACACTATTAAAATTCAAATTACATATTTTTAAGTTTTTAATACCCAATTTATCTGTAACCAACAGCAACCTTATATAACAAAATTTCCGTGTACCTAATCCTAAAAGCTACAAACCCTCCCAGAGTTGTAAGGAATCTATTGATATAACTATTATTGAAAACGGTCCAGTTGTGTTTGAGACTATTGAAGATGAACAAACAAACATTCATTTTTATATAATAGATTGTATATTAGGTAACATAAATGTTGCCTATAAGTTATTTCAATTTAATAAATAATCTAACATAAAAAATCAACGAAAATATACAATATTGTCTTATATCTATTAAAGTATGTAAAATAACCATTGTTTCATACTATATATCTGAAAGAAAAATTAAAATTATTAGCTAATAATTATCAACTATATCTATCAAAAAAAAATTAAAAGATAAGCGTTAAAATGGTTTACGTGAGTATAGTGTGTATTAGTAGTTATAATCATTGATTAATTACAGCAACTATACATGCTGCAATTAATCAATGGTATATAATAGTATAATATAGAGTGTCAACACATTGATGAATCACCATGTTTTATCATGCACACATATTATCATTAAATTACCTATATATATACATTAAAATTATATTACAATGAATACGTCATGATTAAAATTTAAAGTAAAAATAATGTAAATAGTGTATTTTCATAAATTCCGTAATATTATTTTTCTCGCATGTCCCTAAAATATTTGAAAATTATATAATATGAATTACAACTATTTTATACAATTAGAGTGATAGTGTTGTACTAATTCTCTGTCTGAGTTGTCATAATATATCAATGTCAACGTTGTTCATGTGTCTCTTGAACAATGCCATTGAATTTTCTCTTATCGCATTTATTTTTTTTAGGTAATTTTATAACCTATTTTTAGTAATGTTCCGAAACAAAAAAAAAAAAATAATATAATACACATTTTGTACTAAAACAACATAAAGTACTCTGGTTTTTAAATAAAATAATTCACAAATTTATCTTGATTTCTAAAGAAATTCTGTCTCAATTCCAGGGAATTTTTGTAAGGACATCTCTCAAAATTTTAAGGTCATAAATTACTTTTTTGAAAGGGTGTTTTTTTATATTTTTAAAGGCATTTAAAATCCAAGACCTAGTTGTATAACTAATATAATATTCGTACTACGACGTTATAAACTGCTGTTGTATAATATTAATTTTGGTATTATCAAGTATTTTCAATCTATATTTTGACGTCAATATTCATTATTTAGTGTATTATGTTATCTGCGTGTCTGATTAGATTGGGATGCAATGAGCGTATATTACAATTTATTGTTTTCAAAAAATACTAGATAAATACCTAAATATTTGCCAATGTGTAGCATAATGTTATAGGTCATACATTTACTTAGAGACTATATTAATTAATATAAAAATAAACAGGTTTTAAATACTAAAACTCTAAAAAAAAACTATGTATCTTATCAAAATGACTATGTCTGTATTGACCAGAGTCTAAGATAGTCATCTATATATTGTTTGTGTTCATTTAAAAGAAACATACAATTTTGTAATTGTACATTGATCAAATAAATTATGTTAAAAAATAATTGAATAATTGAATCAAAAAGAATACACATGGACTTTCATATTTGCCTGTAAAATGCAGAAAAATAAATAAATTACTGTCTCGTGAAACGCCATTAAATTTTAATTTATGATTATGATAAATACCTATGTTTTTTTGGCTTAGAAATTATCTTTTTCTTTTTTGAAGATATTTTTTATTTATAGTTTCTATATTTTTTTATTTTATTTTTTTTTTTTCAAAACATAAGTATTTGTTTTAAATATTTATTTTAATGGTTAAATATAAATAACATTGCTAGAATTGTTTTAGTATTATACATGGGGTGATCAATTTAATGGAAGACACTCATATTAATTATAATATTCAAGTTCCTTAGTTAAATAGATCACCTTGTATGGCTATATATGATGTATAAACAATTATTTTATAAGTAATAACATATCTATATATATTATAGTTTTGGACTGAGTAGCAGATTCCAATCAGAATTTCCAAGTGCACTTGTATCACGTGTAGCTCCTGAAGAATTTGAAGAGACAATGGCGCGAATCAATTCTGTGTTAAAGAAAAGTTTACCAATGAATGCTAAATGGTTGTTTTGTGGATGTATGTGTTGCTGCTGTACTCTTGGTTGTTCACTTTGGCCTGTTATTTGCCTCAGCAAACGGGTAATTAAACTTAATTAATATAATATTTTTTATGTGTCTAATTATCAAATTTATAAACTTTAGACTCAGCATAGTTTGAACAAATTACTCGATTGGGAAAATAATCATCTTTATAATAAAATTGGTTTGCATTGGAGATTAAATAAACAAAGAGTAGATAATTCTTCTATTACGGAATATGTAAGTTTTTAAAGTCTGTTATTTTAATTAAATATTTAACCTGATAACTAAGTTATACAATTTTATATTATTCTCTGATGCATGACACATTGACACATTACCACGTCTAAACCAAAATACATCCCTCCGCCCATTTAACATATTGATAATGTCGATGTCTGTCATTACCGTCAGAATGTGAAACAGTAATATTCTCTTGTGGACTGAGGGCCCCAGGACATTAAAAAAAAAATTCCTCATTAGTTCTTTTTAAAATTTTTAAATATAAGATCTACATATCCACAATTTATTTTTTATAAGTATTTTAAGTTCAAATTTTGACAAAATGTCAAAATAGTGCAATATTTATAAAATATTTAATTTTTATTGGTAAGATAACTAAGATTTAGATTTGAAAAATTGAATTGAAGGTTCCTCATAAGTATTTTATTCCAAATCCAAAAAATTATAACACAACATTTTTTATAGAAATTAGTTAAAATTTATGAAAAATTAAATATTTAAACAAATGCTTGCAAAAATTAATTCTATCTATCATAATTACTAATAGTAAAATTAAATCTTTTAATATCAATATCAAAAAAGGTGCTCTGCTGTACAGTAGGTTACAAGTGGGTCACAGTGTAACGGATGGTATTAAATTTGAATTCAATGATATAATATCATTGTATAAGAAAAACGATTCTGAGCGGAGACGGTATATCAGTCTAGGTATAAGACATATTATATACTTATCTATGCTATTAAATAAAATTGATTTATTAGGTACCTATAATAAATTCCAAATTAATTATATCACAATATGCATTAGCTACTTATAACGCATTAAACATCAACAACAAACCGTGATACTATCATAGATACACTTGGTACACTTTAGAAGTTTCAAGTACCCACGAATAATATTATACAATCACAACAAAATAACTAAAATAGTTATACTAGGTTTAATATTATGTAATTTCGTAATAATGTAACAATATATCAGGAGCCTTGTATTAAATGGTTACACTATTTGGCCCAACAGATAAAACTCTATCGTTATTTAGAGAAAAAAAAACTAAAAAAATTGAAAACTGAAAATGTCCATAAACAGCTCAAAAAGAGTTTAAAAAATAATTTCAATATTGTATGGTGTATAGGAAATTCTAGTATAAACATCCAGTGAAATTTTCATGTATCTACACTTATTCGTTTTTGAATTACAACAAAATAAGGAAATCGCTACATGAGAAATCGAGTGAATATCCAATGTTGTAAAAATTTGAATTTAAAACGCTCATAAAGATTTAATTCGACTTTCTTATAGACATTTTTTTTTTGATAAATGTAGGAAATCTTATAAGGAATCTTGTATTACATTTTCATATCTTAGATTTAAAGAGAAAAATTTTTATGAATTTCTAACTCGAAATAATTTGCAAATTTTCGTGATTTTTCCATATTTTGTCATTTTTTGAACTTTAAATGCTTAAAAAAAGACTGTGACTAACGATTTTTAATATTTTTCATCTGTCTTTGAAACTTTGAAACAATATAGTAGGAGCCTTGTATTAAATTTTCAAGTATTTTTACTCAACAAATAAATTTTTATTGATATTCATAAAAAAAAAACTAATAAAATTGGAAACTGAAAATGTCCCTAAACAGTTCAAAATATTTTGAAAATGTTATCGTGTATAGAAAATGCAAATATGAACAACCACTGAAAATTTCATGTATCTACGGTCATTTGTTTTAAAGTTACACCAAAAACCAAAATCGATTTTCTCGATAACAGATTTTGCGTAAAAATTCCCGTTTTTCATTAATTTTTATTTTGTTTTTCCTGGCGCTTTTGAAAACTACTGGGAAATTTAAAATTTGACCTCCCTAATGCATCAACGATATTCATTTTCCAATTGAACAAGATACTGAAGTTGAAAATCGAAGCATTATTTCTACAACTTATCGTGTTCACAGACAAAAAAAACACACATTGTAAAATCAATACATTCATCGTTCCACTCAGAATCTAAAAAATGGTAAATGAAAATGTCCCTAAACAGTTCAAAATATTTTGAAAATGCAAATATAAACCAGTGACAATTTCATGTATTTGCGATCATTTGTTTTAAAGTTACACCAAAAACCAAATTCAATTTTGTGAAAAATCGATTTCGCGTAAAAATTCTCGTTTTTCCTTAATTTTTCTTGGCTCTTTTGAAAATTACTTTGAATTTTAAATTTTGACCTCCCCAATGCACCAACGATATTCACTTTCCAATCGAACAAGATACTGAAATTGAAAATCTAAGCATTATTTCAACTACTTATCGTGAACACAGGCACAAAAAATAAATAAAAAAATAAAACACATCATTATAGAATCAATACATTCATCGTTTCACTCAGAATCTAAAACTCATCATAAAATATACTTAGTAATATATGGCTGACTGACATTCTATGTTTTTAATGTTATGATTTACTATTGAATTCAAATTGAACATATTATATACCTTACTACAATTATTTACTCACTGATGAGGCACGCTCAACACTTCTTGTACAGCAGAGCTACTACCTACTTTACCCATTTTTTAATTATGAGTTCAAAGTTGACTTAAGGTTATCTAGAATATATTTATTCAGGATCATTGAAAGAATAATTTACAATTGTTTATAAATTTTAATTATAAAAAAAAATATACATTAAAAGTAGTGTAAATTTGTATGAAGTGTCTTAATTTATCCATATTAAACTTAATTTTATTATGGCCATGTTATTTATTGTATTTATATTTTTTACAGGTACTTTTGGTGGAGTTTATTCCAAAAATACCAATTTATAAACCAGATTAGACAATTACAACAAAAATATTTACATTTTGTTGAATTCTATCAGTTTAAAGATAGGATGAAATTGGTTAGTTAATAATTTGCATGGCACAACAAAATTAAACCAATTATCTTTTTACCAGGTAATATATAGAATTTGTAATGTATTCTTATCAATTTTAATTTTTGGAGTTATTTATCAGTCATCCAAACTTGCTCAATATCGTAAAATAAAATGGATTTATGACTATGTGAAATAAATTAGTTGTGTATAATGTATTTCATTAATTTTTTAATGTATGATTATATAATTCTTTCAACAACTTTTGATTGAAATAAAGATATAAGTGAATGTCTTTATACCCTCAATACTTAATTTGAAAATTATGATTTAATGTGATATCAATTTGTGTGATACCTGGGCGGGTACTTAATATTGAGAGTTATATGTTTATCTCGTCCTTAGAAGAATCTGACCTGTTTATTTTTTTTAAAGTTATTTTATAACTTTTAGACTTTACAAATATAATTTTAAGTCAATTACTTGAACAAAAATTAATATCAAGTTTAAACTTAGTACTTAAAAAAGATTATATAATATTACGTTTAAGTAAAATTCATGACAGCATCACATAAATTTGTACTTTTATTTGTTATAAATGTTAGTTTATATTGAAAATATAAACGTATTATTGTTTGGTTTTAATTGTTTAAGATATATACTAAGGTTTACCTATATTTTTTTTTTTATATTATCTGTTATATTATTTAAGTATCCAACGTACACATGCTTCCAAAGGATCAAGTATGTTAGTTCCAAGTGATTAATTTGTGCATAAATAAATATTTTAATGTTAATTTAGGTATGTATAATTAAATTGTTTGTAAATATTTTTTTCAATAAATGTTGTTTGTAAACGAGCTTATACATTTGACAGTTATTATTTATTGTATTGAGTGTAATATTGTTTAACTTCTGGATAAAAAAATGGCAATACAAACTTGGCTGTATAGTATATTTAATATTAGGTTAGTGGATATAAACAGAGCGTAAAAGAATATACTGACAGACAGAATAGGTTTATTAGAGGTGGGTAATTCAGCGAATTTTCAAATGACAATTCAGTCAGGGTCAGGACTTGGGTGGTTGGCCATAAAACGTGGGAATTTGTACGTACAAATTACAGAGTATAAGTATTTTATTATTAATTAATTTAGTGACACTTTATAATATAAAATTTATACTGTAAAAGTGGAGGGTATAATACTTGTAAACATTGAAAAAATACAATTCTGAACGTCTTCAAGGTTAACTACTTCAACTTGAATTTGATGTAATTAATTTTTTTTTCTCTCACGTATTGATCCGTGTGATAGATTTTTGTTCTTCATATCATACATTATATTTTTAATAGACAATTAGAGAATACAACCAATAAATAATCAAAATATTATATAGGTACCTATCGGACTCGTCTTCGCCATAATAAACTACTATAATGTAATGTGTATAAAATATGGAACTAATGAGTTGCCCTATTACTTCCATTTCTATATAATATTATGTTTACACTTAGAAAGACATGAGGCTAAACATATTTGTTTATAGTAGTGGCATGTATAACTTATAACTAGGAATAGAGTAAAATTATTAATAATTCATAATAATATAAGTGTTTATTTAAATTTAAATATAATTATTTAATAAAAACTGTAAAACATAACTCTCAGAGAATATTATAATATAATACATTTATATAAAAAAAGTAATGTGTATAATTCAACTAATAATGGCATGTAGGATTATTATGGACACAAATATATAACCTAAATATCAACTTACATAATTACAATTTACATTTTAATTGAAATATGAATATGAATACCATAACAATATAAAAGATATCGGTATAACAAATTAAGTAAAGTTATTGAATAAGTAATAGATAATAATACCCTGTTTGTTGTATAAATTGAGCATTAAAGATTGATCATTTACATTTTGATTTCATATGTGCTCATTAATATTTAGTATTATAATTTACTAAATATATAAAATTTAAAAAACTAGGTATTAAAATTAAAAAATTTGGTAAATATATTTATGTATTTTATTTTAATATCACAATACGCTTGTTATAAATCATCAGGTAGTTCAGTGACAAAATTTGATGGAAACTGACCTTTAGATCCATTACATTCCCCGTATAACCAATTTTCATCGATTCTTCTTAAAACTTGAATTTGATCGCCTTCCTAAAAAATAGTTTGAAATTAGTATTAAATATTAAGAGAATGCTCAATAGATGTAGGTAACATTTATTAAAAATTATTGGTCAGTGCTATCAATAAAATAAAAACGGTACGACAGATAAAGTTCTTCCACCAGAGTTGTTATAATATAACTATTGTGGGTTAAACAACTTGTTTTAAGAGGATGTCAGCGCACTATTTGTTTTCTCTCTCTGGCCCACGCACAGCATAGACAAAACGCGTTAACGCAGAATCATTTTTTCTTGTTTTTAAGTAGTCTTAGAGTAAAATCACCCATTACAAAAAATATCTAGAATAATATTTTTGAGGGAATGACACACCCAATTTTATATTTTATTGTTATTTGACTTTCAAAATAAACAAAAAAATTGTGTACATTAAAATGATGTTTAAATTGTTTTGAGACAATATTTAGACAAATCGATATGACATTCCCTCAAAAATATTATTCTCTTCTTTTTTAGAAAAAACAAATAGTGCGCTGACATCCGCTAAAACATGAATTTAAAACATTTGTTTAAACGTTAAGTTCATAGTTTAAAACGAATAAAACAATTTAAAATCCAAGTGAATATTGTTTTAGATTCTGAGTGGAGCAAGGAAGCTAAGTGGTTTTACAATGGTGTTTATTTTTTTTTTATATCCTGTATACAAAAGTTTAATCAGAAGGAGTTCTTCGATTTCAACATATAGTACCGTATCTTTTAGCAAATTGGATCAAGATGGTACTTTAGGGAGATCATTTTTCGATTTTCTCAATAGTTATTTAATCACCCAGGAAAAACTACCTATAAATTACAAAAAACCGCTTTGTTTATCATCATAGCAACGAATAAAATATAATAATATTATAATATTAATTCAAAATACAGGCTATAATAAATAATAACAATATAAAAAATCCAGACTTATAAACCTTCTCCGCTCAGAATCGTTTGTCTTATACAATGATATTACATCATTGAATTCAAGTTTAATACAATCCATTATACATTGACCCACTTGTAAGTTGTAACCTACTGTAACCTACTGTTTTTTTTTTGTTTAATTATAATAATAAACTTCAGAAAAAAAAGTTAGAGTATTAAATAATAATAATATGTATTATCATCCTTCAATTTTAATTTTAATTTTGTTTTGTTGAATAAATTACCAAATTTAAAATATTTTTCTTTAATAGTTAATATAATCATAATATTATATTCACAAAAAACATCCATTCAGAAAATATTTAAAATAAGTAATTAATAAATAGTGAAACAGTGTACATATTATACTAGTACCGACATATAAGTAAATTACATATTAAATAAAAATTAAGTTATTTTAAATATCCGTTGTTTCAAACATTGTTTTGAACTGTTTAAAACTCAAACAATTTTTTTGTTCAAAACATAATTTTTTTAATTTTTTCTCTTAAAAAATGAAAAAATACACTAACTTATTACTACATTTATAAAACGGAAACAATACATGTGGGTGTAACGTCGGGTATAATTATTATTAGGAAATGCTCAGTATAAATGTTGTATTATTTATTACTTGTATAGTTAGATCTTCCCAGCATTCTGGTTTAAATGCAAACACAGCTATTACTTTGCGGATTTCTTGATTGGTTGGAGATTCCTTGGGTAATGGTTCAGTTACTTCAACGTAACTAATGGGAAACATTCCAGTGCGCTCATTCAATGTACCTTCTAACCATTCATCGTTAACACGTCGTGTTATGAAAATTTCATCTCCTTTCTAAGATTAAATAAATATTTAAATAAATAAGATTATTATTAAATATATAGTTAAAATATTACCTTAAAAGCTAGATCATCTACATGACCAGACATGTAATCAAATTGAGCAATACACTTGGACTGTGATTTTGATAGTTGAGTTTGCTAGAATATTAATAAATTATTATTACCATAAGGTATAACAAATTATAAATATATAAAAATTACAATAATATATTAATACTGAATAATTATTAATATCACTGAAATACATTGTATATTTCTATGTGCATGATTCATGATATTTGATGATACTGTATGTTATAATTTGATTTTTAGATTCTGAGTGGAAGGATGAATGTATTGGTTTTACAATGGTGTGTTTTTATTTTTATTTTTGTGTTTGTGTACACAATTAGTAGTTGAAATAATGCTTCGATTTTCAACTTCAGTATTCATGGGAAAGTGAATCTAGTTGGTAATTTTGGGAGGTCAAAATTTAAAACCCCAACAGTTTTCAAAAGCGCCCGGAAAAACGGGAATTTTTATGCAAAATCAGTTTTTGACAAACTTGATTATGGCTTTTGGTGTAACTTTAAAACAAATGACCGTAGATACATGCAATTTTCACTGGTAGTTTATATTTACATTTTCTATACACTATAAAATTTTCAAAATATTTTCATTTATTTTGAACTGTTTAGGGACATTTTCAGTTTTCAATTTTATTAGTTTTTTTTTTCTATGAATGTATATAAAACTTTATTTGTTGATTAAAAATACTTGAAAATTTAATACAAGGCTCCTTGTTAAATTGACATATGAAAAATATTAAAAATCCTCAGTCACAAGTTTTTTTTATAAGCATTTAAAGTTCAAATCTTGACAATTCATGGAAAAATCACGAATATTATCAAATTATTTTGAGTTAAGAATTCATAAAAATGTTTCTTTTTAAATCTAAGATATGAAAATGTAATACAAGATTCCTTATAAGGTTGTCTGATTGTATCAACAAAAAAAAAATGTCCTTAAGAAAGTCAAACCAAATTTTTATGAGCGTTTGAAATTCAAATTTTTACATTGGATATTCACTTGATTTCTCACGTAGCGATGTTCTTATTTTGTTGTGATTCAAAAACAAACAACTGTAGATACATGAAAATTTCACTGAATGTTTATTATATCGATTCTTATACGTGATAAAATTTTCAAAATATTTTGACTTGTTTTGAGCTGTTTACGGACAATTTCATATTTAAATTTTTTTTATTTTTTTTTTCTATGAATATCAATTAAGTTTTATTTGTTGGGCCAAAAAGGGTAAAAATCTAAAAAACACAGTTTACTTTTATGGTCATTTTAAGTTCAAATTTGGACGAAATTACATATTAAAATCAATTTTAACGATTTTGGTTTTTTGTTGTAATTTAAAAATATTATTCTGGGATTTATGAAACTGAAAAATCAAAAAAATCTAAATATTATGGCCTATTCATACAGTCTACCATAGTTTAAGGAATAAGAAGTATGCTCAATGATAAGACTGTGCATATTTTTTTTATTACCATTGATATGTATATAATATGTCTTAAACCTATAGACTGACATACCGTCTCCGCTCAGAATCGTTTTTCTCATACAATGATATTATATCATTGAATTCAAATTTAATACCATCCATTAAACAGTGACCCACTTGTAACCTACTGTACAGCAGAGCACCTTTTTAGAATTTATTTCACAATATGACAGTTAAAATTAGTGTGCTTATAACAAGATACATATTTGACTTTTCCTATGAAAGTCGCATGGAATAATACTTTTCTTAGTAACATCATTACAAAAATATTTTAAAATGATAAAATTTTTTTTTTAATATTTTAAGACAATCCTGTCTATTAAGATAAAAATGTAAATTACAGAGTTATAATTGGTCAGACCAATAACACTTAACACGTTGACTGCCACGCGGCCCCCGGCGGCCATAATAATATGTATCATTGGTGCGCCAAGCAAATTTTCTGGTGTCATTACAAATTTGTATATATACTATTGAATTGTATGTTTACTAAAAAATTCAAAAAAAATATTAAAAATATGTTTATTACATCAAAAAAATTGTAATTTTTCCAACTACGCCACGGCGCATTTTTCAGTTCATTATTGTAGCGCCATGGAAAAGCTAATAATATAAATCTAAATTCATTTACGGCAGCCCGCGGCCGTATGGCCTCCTAGGTGCGGCAGCCGGCGGCCTAAAAATGATCGATACGTAATTATTTTTATGCGGCCGCATGGCAGTCAACGTGTTAAGTATTAAGTTTTAAGCCATTCAAGGTTGAAAGCTTGGCACCCATGGTATATATTTCGTTATTTAAATAAAAAAGAACAAAATATGGTGATAAAATGGATACAATGAATGCAGTTCATTTACAACAATAATCAAATATTATCTATTGGATTTAACTTTGGACTTACCATCTCATTTGGCCTTGGAGGTAATTTAGGACCATTTAATAATACATTTAGGGCATCTGGTGGTAACATTGGTGGAGGTAACGTAGGTGGTGGTAATGAATTTTCAATTGAAAAGCGGTTTTTGAAATAATCCATATCTGCATTTGAACATAATAAATCAAAATCATCTTCAAAACCACTGCTTTCAGCTTGAGAACCTTTCCATGGCCCGAAATCACTGTTGAAGCTATCAACACTATTTCCATCACTACTAGATCTATACAAAAAAAATTGTCGTTTTTTACTATCCAATTATGATTAATTTTATCGAATAAAATATATATTATAAAAATATAAAATACAAACTTATGAGTAGATGTAGGAGATGTTTGAGGTGAACCAAAGTCTATAAGACAACCCACCATCTGAGAAGTACTTGAAGACTTAGGTATTTCTTTGGGTTTTGCAACCCAAGAGGGTGTTGGAACCGTATGCTTGGTTTTAAATCCAATTAAAGATGACAAACCAGCTTTTCCCTAAAAATTAAGTAATTGTTAATAATTCATTTTTTATTGAACTGAGTATACCTAGGTCCTAGTTTATGTAGAATAATGTAATAAATTTAAACTGTTTTATAAAATAACAGTTGAGATGACACTCAATTGTTGTGGAAAAAATAATCTACGACACTTGTTACTAAATTAATTGATTTCATATTTTAATGAAGGAAATGAAAACAACAGTTAGGTTGGCAATTTATTCAAGATGGAAAGGATGTCTACAATTTACTATCTACTAATTTAGTTTAACTTTATACCTTCTTTTTGATGATGATTTATATTTTAATGATAGACCTAACAACAAATTACAATATTACGTTTAAAAGTTAAATAATTAAATATTATTTATGTATTACTTGACTTTTAGGTGTTTGTGCGAATTTAGGGGGAGGTGGTCTAGGTGGAGGTTTCTTCTTTACAGGTTGTTGAAAACCATTGAGCGATTTTGACTGTTTCAATGATAGAGCTTTTGCTAATCTCGATTGAGTTCTAAACAAATAAAAACAATGTTGTTATTTTTGATTATTAAAATGTACATGAATCACTTTCCGACTTACAAAGGCTTGTTCACTTTGGGTGGCGGGGGAGCGGGACGATTTGGGACCTTGGGTGCTGAAACACAGAAAATCCCTTCATTAAAATGTCAAAAATAGAAAATGGAAAAGACGAAAACAGAAACCACATACAGCTGTCGGAAGTGAAAGCGGTCCAATTGGCCATCTTGAAACGATATAATGACTGATTTATTATTCAGTAACCGAACAGTCATAATATTTTACTCCGACAAGTCGCAGTCATAGTAGTCGTACAACAAGCACACACGTTTAACGTCACGACCTTCGAGACTGATGATGTTCTCTTTCAATCGCTATCTGCCAACACATAACGAAAAAACGAATGTTTTGGTTAATGATTCATTATTATTATTACTATCATATATACATTTGAAACGTAAAAACTTGTATTGTCGTCTAAAATTAATATAAAGTCCCTATCAGCTATTCGCAGCCAATGAATAATGATAAAACAATAACAATAATACACATTATTATTATTATATTTTTATTGTTGATAAGACGGTAAGCGTACAGTGTAGCCGTTTCGTAAACCTGAAAAAGCGAATTATCGTACCGCGACGGCGACTGCAGCAGGCTGCACATGGTCAAGTTGCATTTATTATTCCACGACCGTGCCGTGTCAATTAGAAGATAAAAAATTTATTCGAACAGCTTTGGGGTTATGTTTGGTTCTCTCTCATTTCGATAGATTTTTCTGTAGGTATTTCGTTTGGATTTATTTAGAATATTGAAATTCAAAAATCAAAATGAAAGCCAAGGGAGATGTAAGTATTTTCACGTTTTTAAATATTTGTTTGAAGTATTTAGTATTGTGCTATAGAAATTAAACTTCGGGTACCGATGTTTTGTTATACCCAACCGATTTAATTGGAAATATTCAAAATCACATGACATGTGGCACTGGATTGAAATTGGACATTTTAATTTTAAATTGTATTACATTTTAATGTTAATTATAACATTTGCTTGCAGTTGAAAGAATATGAGGTCATCGGACGCAAATTGCCGACCGAGAAGGAGAAGACTACACCTTTATATAAGATGAGGATTTTCGCTCCAGATCGCATTGTTGCCAAATCTAGGTTTTGGTATTTCTTAAGACAACTTAAGAAATTCAAAAAGAGCACAGGAGAAATTGTGTCTTTGAAACAAGTATGTATTTCTATGATCATGACGTCTGTTTAATGTATACAATATAAAAAATTATTTATTTTTTATAGGTTACCGATAAATCGCCAACCAAAATTAAGAACTTCGGAGTGTGGTTACGTTATGATTCCAGATCAGGTACACACAACATGTACCGCGAATACAGAGACACCACTGTTGCTAGTGCTGTCACTAAATGCTACAGAGATATGGGCGCTAGACATAGAGCCAGGGCTCATGCTATCCAGGTATTGGTTTTTATAATTATTAATTTAAATTTTACGATTAATACTTGATTTTAAGTAGTTATTTAAAATATTATGTAAAGTTTAATGTAAAATATCACACCTATTTGTTAGTTGATTAAGTGCCCGTATTATACAATAGTCGATTACACTTAACCCACCGATTTTGCCGTCCGAATTCCGTGGTTTAACCTTAGATCAACTATAGTTTAGTCAAACTGTCGTAAATTATTTTATGCTTATAATTCTAAATCAAAATCATCACTAACCAGTTATTTTATTAATTTTTCCTCAACATATTTGTTTTAGTCTTTGGTATTGAACTTAACTTTGGTAACTATCTGAAAATTAAATACTTGAAACTTTTTATTAGTTAAATTTAATATTTATTATTTATATATATATTTGATATAAACAAATATGGCTTGTCATTTTCTGTCCATGTCGTTTCAACTTTAAAAAGATTCTTTTGTTGGATAAATATTGTAATCTCTAATTTTATTTGAGTTAATTAACTTATCACTAGTAGAATCTTCCAAATCTTACTTAAACATTTAAATAAACAGTCATGCCAGATTGAAATTTTTTAATTTTATAGTGGGTAATTTCTAATATAAATATTGAAGCCAGTAAAACAATTGTATTTAAATAAAAAGCATTAAATTCTATTGTATTTAGTTATCAGATTCCAAAGCATTTGCTAATTATACTATTATAGAATACTTCAACAATTAGTTAACTAAAATTTAAAATCTAAAGTTGTATATTGCAAATTTATATTTTAAATTTTAGTTTTATAGTGCTATAAATATACATTTATGACTCCTTAACAATTGTATCCGACACCAGTCAAATTTTTATGTACGTATTAATAAATACCCAAATAATTATTATACACTTGACATTTTTAATATATAATAAAAAAAAAAAATGTTCGCTATTTTTAAACTCAAAATAACCTTGCTCACTCGATCGACGAAAACTCGTTGAGTTCGCTCATGTCTGTTGCCACAGTCGGAGCTGATGTCAGCTGTGTCTATACGGCAGCGGCTGTTGGTAGCGACGGGCAACGGTAGCAGTCGACAACTAACAACCAATCACAGCTCTCCTGACTCTCGCCAGGGGGTTCTGACGGCTGTCGGCGGCTCAGTCGCATTCGCGAAAGTGGGCAAAGTTATTTTAAACAGAGTATAGATCATATTGGGTTCCTTATTTTAGCATATAATTTAGTAGTTGCTATGAAATCTGAGTATAAAATTGATACACTTTAAAAATATATCCTAGGTTGGCTATTCAAGGTATAATATAAGAAACATATTGCTATTTTTTACTATTATTTTATTTGAGTATTTATGAGATATATAACTATTTTTCAGATCATTAAAGTTGAAGTTGTCAAGGCTAAGAACACCAGAAGACCACATGTGAAACAATTCCACGACAGTAAGATTCGTTTCCCTCTACCTCACCGTGTTGAAGGAAAACGTCGTCGTTATAACACATTCTCTGTCAGACGCCCAACAACCAGTTTCTTGTAAAATGGATATTATATTTGATTTTTCTGAATAAAAAGAATTCAATTTAATATTTTTAATTTTGCGTTGATTCTACAAGAATCTTGATTTCGAAATGGGATTATATAACTAATTAATGCATTTATATAATTTATTTTAATGACCTAAAATGGACTTCTAATAGCCATCTTTCCGTTATAAAACAAATTTGTCGATATGATAACAAATAAATATCAAAATATATTGTGTTCTACACTACCAACAGAGTTTGAGGAAACAAATATATCACACAAAGACATTTTTTGTAGGCCATGGTAGTAACAGTTTAATTAATTTTAATTATCCTAATAATGGTGGTTGAAAGTGATGCATAATTTTAATCCCAAGCTTTGCTATTTATTTATATATTATATTTGATTATATTTTCTAAAATTATATTGATATAACTGTGGATATAAGCATCCAAATATTAGAAAATTAATTAGAAAAATGCAAAATTAGATTTAATTGCTGTAGAAGTTTCAACTAATAGAAAAAAAAACTAAGATGACCTCGTACCATAGAACAACATCTAAAAAATGTATGTATAATATTGTGTGAAAATTAGTGTTGGATCTTTGAACATCCGTAAGTTAACCACGGATTAATATTAACAAAAGAAAAAGATTTAAATATATTGTAAATTATTGTATTAAAATAAAAATTATAATATACTTTTTTACTTATTTAATTTTAAAACAGTAGGTTACAAGTGGGTTACTGCATAATAGATGGTATTAAATTTGAATTCTATGATATAATATCATTGTATAAGAAAAACGATTCTGAGCGGAGATGGTGTGTCAATCTATAGGTCTAAGACATATTATATACATATCAATGGTAATAAAAATAAATATGCACAGTCTTATCATTGAGCATACTTCTTATTCCTTATACTATGGTAGATTGTATGGATAGGCCATAATATTTTGATTTTTCAGTTTCATATACCCCCGAATAATATTTTTAAATTACAACAAAAAACCAAAATCGTTAATATTGATTTTAATATTTAATTTTGTCCAAATTTGAACTTAAAATGACTATAAAAATAAACTGTCCTTCTGTATTTTTAAGATTTTTTGGTAACAGAATTAACTACATACGTGGAATCTTGTTTTTAATTTTCAATCCTTAGATATAAAAGTTGAATATGTGTGTGATGACACACTATACCCTGTTCAAAATAAGAAGCGACCTGATTTACGCTTGAAAACCGGTTTTACTAGTGGCCGCTGAATCGCTTCTTAAAATGAACAGACTATACAGCTATAGCAAAATTCCGACATGGTAGTTGTCACTTGTCAGAAAAAGTGATAAGTTATGACGTGAAGTGAAAGACTTTAAATATTATACAGCCAGTGTATATAGATATACTTTTAATACTCTAATAGATAGACAATGCCGCATCCATATGTTTAATATCATCTATGATTATTGATTTATACATACAGATTGAGTAGGCTATGGTTAGGGATGCGCGTCTAGAATTTATTCACTGATGTAGCCAACAAAAAAGGCATGTCTATGGAGTCAGCCCCCGCACAAAAACCTAACATACGATTTAGTATAGTAAATTGTTGTTCAATGACCTATAATGGGTCGAAAATGAGATGTCTAGGGCTTTGAAATCTAAATCCAAAAAACTTGACCGTCGACTTGCTACATGATAAATATTTTACCATTTTTACTAGCATACCTAATATTTATTTTATCAACTCAAAATAATTCTGTGATGAGTTAATTTCGCAAGTATAATACAGACATACCCGTAAACACGCCTAGTATGTGAGTCACAACTCACATGTGACATTTCTGTAGGTACCTGTGGGCTGAGGGGAGCATGTAAACTCCGCCAGAAAAATAAAACAGGTAAAATTGGGTTCATGTAAATTTCGCCAGTGAAGAAAATCAAGTAACAGTATTATATTTAATATAATAATATAATATACCAATTATGAATTATTACATTTGAATTTTAAAAGGTTTATTAGTATTTTAAAAAACAATTGAATAGCTTATTATTTTAGGAGACTATTAAAAGTTTTTTATATATAAATATAATTTATTTGCGTGGAACCTTTTTAAAATGTTCAATCCTTAGCTTTAAAAGTTGAATATTTTATAAATTTTTAATTATAAAATCATTTTTAAATTTTAAATTTGATAAATGTTGTCAAAAATCGAACTTTAAATGCTTATATAAAAAAAATTGTGCCTATGTATTTTTACACTTCTGTTTAAGAAAATATATATCAGGAGCCATGTAATATATTTTGAAGCTTTTTGGCCCATCAAATAAAATTTTGTTGAAATTTATAGAAAAAAAAATTGAAACAAGTCGTAAAAGCTCAAAACAGATCAAAATATTTTGAAAATTTTATCATGTTTATTATATTTTTACAGTCCTAAAAGGTGATGACAGATACAAAAAAAAATTACACTTCATTGTAAAAACAATACATTCATAGCTCCACTCAGAGAAAAATGAGAATTTTTATTCAAAGCCAATTGTCAACAAAATCGATTTATAATGAAATAATAACCAAATTTCATATAGATACCTATATGAAATTGTCTTACCGAATATTGGCAAAATATTTTGATTCTTTTTGACCTATTGATAGCCATATAAGCAAATTATTTTTTAATTGCTCACGGTAAAAAATTGTTGGTGATGTAATAGGTACAGTTTTGCATAAATTGTTATTAGTGAAATTAAAAAAAAAGTTGAGGGTAAGTCTACAATAATTTTTTACGACTGTCTGAAGTTAGAATCTTGACGAAATGCATCAGTCTCGAAAATTTGCTTAAAACATAGTTTTTCATAAGCAGTTGCAGTGGCGTATTTTGAAATTTTTTCTGGGGGGGGTCTAAATATTAGGTACCTACAAGTTTATAATATAAAAAAGCACATACGAGTTACGATGTAATAATTATATTATATTATATTTTTTCTGGGGGGGTCCAGACCCGGGGACCCCCCCCGTAAATACGCCACTGAGCAGTTGATATTGTAACCCAAATCTCCAAACATATATTCACACAGTTTTTTTTGTAGACATTTTAAATTCAAATTTGAACAAAATTAAATATGTACCTAAACACAAAATAACGTTTTTAGTTATTTTTTTGTAATTTAAAAATATTATAAATAATATTACTTATTTATTAATATTACAAACTTACAAATAATGAAAAGCTAGTTATAATTGATAGTCTATCCACAGTTTAAGGTAGGATATCTATAGTTACATTTTTTACTTATGGTGAATAAACTATTAGATATGAAGTCATTTTACACTTAACAGTTTATTTAACATTGGACAAAAACGATCTTAACATTGAATGTGTATAACTATATAGTAACTACACTATCTAGGGCGTCTCATTAGCTTTTTATTATATTTTAGTTTTAAAGTGAATTATGAGTATTTTAAAATTGTAAATTGCTTGTACATCTTAAGATACTCATTATGTTAATACGTTATTTACTGTTATTACGTTTAGACAATAAATTCGACAATTTCGGTAATGGTTGGTAGTTGGTATTTGATAATCTATTTTTTATACATGTTTGAATCAGAAATAGATACTTGCAGTGTTGGCGTGATAGGGTGTTTCATGAGGCAATTGCCTCACGACCAATTAGGTGGTGGTACCCCCCCCCCCATGGGTACGGATATTAAAAACCACATATGAAATATGGTCAAGGGGACGGAGTGCCCGAGTGGTTTAAGGCGTCGGTCGCGACGCAGCCGGTGCCAGCTCGATTCCTTGGTCGCGGGCGGCAATTTTCTTTGGGCAAGTCACGGAGAATAAGTGCCGCCATCTCCCACCAGCGGGCATGGCAAATACCTACGGGTGCCCCAAATAAAAAATTCTGCCAAAACAAACACACACGTGTAACAAATCTACAGTACCACAGGCTAATGATCTGAGTTGTCGAAGCCTTAAGCTTAACCCTAATAAAAAAAAAAATAATAATAAATAAATATGGTCAACTAATGTCTCATACTATTAATAATACTAATTTTTTAATGATTTTATTATATTTCTGATATTATTAACACAACAAGGTATATTATCGTTGGTGTATTATCGGGTCTATGTGATAAAATTTAGGTGGTGGTGGTCGAGCATTTATACTAGCCTCATAAAATAAAATAGTTCACGCCGCCACTGGATACTTGGCATAATATTAGATCCAACTCCTTAAAATGTTATAAGTCACTAATATTATTAGTCACCCATATGTTTTCTTGGGGACAAACTTGTGACGCGATTTTTAATCGGAACTGTAAAAAAATATATTCTAGTATTGCAAGACACCGTTAGGACACCACTCAATTGTGGTGGACCAAAATTTGTCAAATTCCGTACATGATACTAATAATTGGTTTAATTATTAAACACTAATGCCTAATGACACCAAAAACACCTCTTTGACACTACTGGACCAACAGTCCAAACACCAATTTTCAATAAATTATTTCTACCCGGGTTGTTATGACTTATAACTTATAAGCTATAAGTATTTAAAGCTTTGATGAGCGGAGTGGAGTGGTACGCTATTACCTCGAAAAATATTGGTCCACTGACCACTATTCCATAGCTCATCAAAGTACTTACTCATCCTAAATTCGATTTTTATGTTTCAAAATACACAGAAAAATATTCTGCTTTCGAAGGTGAAATTAAAACTGTATGATGTAATTCAAAAAAAGCAAAAAAATTAAAAAATGTGTAAATATTAAACCTCAAATCTCAATACAATACGGAGACACTACACCGACACAGTGTATATCAGACATCAGTGTTGTGGTGAGTGGTGATTAGTGAGTGTTGTATCTACAGTTAAATGTTTAGGTGATATTCTTAAAATATTATTAATAATTATTATTAAAACGTTGATACACAATAATATTATGTATTTAAAACTTGGAATATGTAAATGTGTTACTACAATATAGCTATGTTTTGTTAAATTAAATAAAATTATTTATCTGAGTAATCAACTGCCTACTTTAGTTTTTGGAAAAAAAACCCTAGACCCATGTACAAAAAGTATTTGCTCAACTCCACACCCCTTGGGAAAAAATGTTTAGCTCTATGCCTGGGTATTTAAACAATAAAGACAAACAATCTGAAAAACACTGATGGGTGTTAGTCAATACAGAAACAGAATAATAAAAAACATAATATTCATTATTCTGTGATTAAATTAATTTTATTGATAAGCCATTTCTGTAAATTCTGTTTCATAGATAATATAAAGATCTTCATTATCTATGGACGTTCTGTGATAGTGTGATAACTGTTTTTGAAGTTTTAAACTTGTCTAGTTGTTAGGTCTAAAGTTTATGATCTAAGTTTTGATCACAGACTGCTGTGGGTTATTTTCTAAGTAGTAACTAAATAACTAATAGGTGAGGTTACTTTAGTGGTAATTGTAAGGATGAATGGGGTAAAGGATTACGAGAAAAAACATCAGAAAAATTTTTGTTATACAATTTCTACGCTTAACACTCCTGACACTTATAAGATTGAAGTGCCAGTTCATATACCATTTGAAGGTAGTATAGAAGAATTAAGTCATAGAATTATAAATGGGTTTAACTTACCGTTATACGTCATAGAAGGTAATAATATTATTGTGTTCATCGTTTATAATAAAAATATTAATTGCATCTTATCTTTAATCTTTATAGAACTATCGGGTGAGTTACAAAAATTTGTTGACAAATGTACAATTGAATTTTATGATTCCCAAACAATTGATGCTATAGAAAGCATTAGAAATGAAAGCATTGATGTAGAAGATATTGTTAAATATTGGGAAAAGGCATTTCAAGAGGTAATGTGATAAGATCGTTAGCATGTTATTTTTGTATTTTACAGATTTAATTTGTATTATTAATGTTTTTTTTTATAGGAAACTTTCTCATTCACTGATAATAAAGGACCTAGTAATGATCAATTGTTTGGTACTGCATTTCACAAATTAGCTCATTCGGGACCTTCTTTGGATGCTATTCTTCATATTGAATATGGTTATGCCCAAGCAGTCCAAGATATCATGAGTAGAAAATATAGACAAGTTACATCTTTGACAAAAACGTGTGTTTACATAATTTAAATAAGTGGTTTTGGTTGAATGAAATAGTTATTTTTTTTTAAATATTTGTTTAGTCAAACCGAAGAGATGAACTATGCAATGGATGGGTTAAATAAATACACTACTGAAGATGATATTAATGCTTTGGCACTAAAGCACTTTGATGATCAAACATTACTTCAAGTAATTGAAAAACTTTATCCCAGTATAAGAGAGTATTATTATTGTTTTATAATTATTATTATGGATGAAAATTTACATTATAGTTGGAATTCTTTATCATGTAACCCTGAACATAATATTACAGTTATTGAAATGTTCCTAGAATAAGCCTTGAGGAATATAGCCCAAATTAAAGCTTAAGCAGAAGAGGCTATTGCCTACAGAAACGTGACTGATGATCGCTTTAGGGGTATCGTCCAAAATATTTTTTTTTTTATACAGAATACATAATATTACTATTTAATTAAAATTTTTTTTGACCAACATTTATGGTTTTTAACACTAATAGATTAAATTGTACCTGTACCTAAAACCAAGTAGTTTTCGTACTGTAATTTTATCAAAATTGTTTACATCAGTCGAATCACTGTACGGTGGGTCAAATAATTTCAAATTCATTATAGTATAATATTTAAAACAAAATAAATTCTGTATAATTTTATTTTTGTTTCACTTTTTGTACATTATATGTCTAATAAGTTCAAATCATTATTGTATTATTTATTACAATTTAATAATGATAGGTTTTTTTACTGATTGAAAAATATAAAAAGTCTGTACAATAAATCTATTGGCACTAATTAAATATTAGTAAAATAGAGGCACCAAAATGTTCACAGAATACGGTACCGTAGGTCTTTATACGAACCGGCCTCTTAGGTAAGATCATGTTTGGCTTATATTTAAATATTTAACTATCGAGATAAATCCAGACATTATGTTCTATCTGTGTCATAGCATTGGCATTAGCGGGTAGTACAACTATGAACTTTTTGTAACTAGATGTCAGGAATGTTCTACAGTTTTCATATATTTTGAGTTATTACTTTACTGTAGTCCTTACTCTGTAACAAAATATCTTATATTTTAAATTTTTTTAGGGTAAATGGAATAGCAGACTTGATACTTTGAAGCAGGAACAGCGCACTGGGTATAGAGAATGGGTTATGAAAACAGTAGAAGAAATGCAAGGTGTTGATGGATTGTATTCTCCTATTGGGTAAAAACAATAAACTTATTTTTCTCAACATTAAAAAAAAAAACACTTAAATTATTGTAATTTATAGGAATTCTCCTATAAGTATTGGATCAAATGGATTTACAATTTCAAATATGTCGTTATATGATATGGAAGAAAGCTTCACTATACATCTTGGGTCACAAATGAAATCTACCCATAATATTCGCATTATGTCAGCAGATACTTTAAATCTTTTAAGCTTAACTTTGGAAGAAAACGGGTATTTATATGATATGCAAATTATACTATTAAAAGTAGTTATTAATTTTTTTTTTTTTTTAGAGCAGTTGTACATCATCCTCAAAGGTTACAAACAGTACTAGAACTATATTCTCAAGATCTTAAAGGTCTTGTTTTATTTATTGATACAAATAATTTAGATTTCTACTCTGGTCTAGCAAAGGGTAATAATTATTAAATATAATTTTAAACTGACTGAATAATTTATTAATATATTTTTGTTTTTGTTATAGAGTTTTTTGATATTTGCGATGGCAGTACAGAATTCCACTTTAATTCTTTGCAGGATCAATTAGAAATCATCAAATCTGATCTTAAAGTAGCTGTTGAAAATCGGAAGTGCAAAGGACCAGTTAGTAATTTTTTATCTCCAGAATTACAGGTAAGGTATTTGTTCACTAATTTAATTTCTCAATCATTACAAAGCTTGTGAAATTGTAGGCTCGACGAAATAAATCAAAACTTTTGCAATGTGGTGATGTTTACATTACAAGACATTCAAATCTGGCTTCGGTTCATCTTGTATTTCATATGGTTATCGATGATTCGTTAAAATCAGGTTAGCTGTTTAGTATGCCTATATAAAATGTTGCACTTATAATGATTATAATTTTTTAGGTGATATCAACTCAAGACATCCAGTAATCTTGGGATTAAGAAATATATTGAAAACAGCTTGTTCATATGATATTACTATGATAACAATTCCATTATTTTTAACTCATGAAATGACCGAGGTAATTATAAATACTTTAATATATGCTAAGGATGACCACATTAAAATTAAAAAAAAAATCAATACCTCCCTTTTAAAATTAAGTCTTTTTAACCTTTTGAAGAGCATTGATGTATATATACATTTTTTAAAGTTGTGCCTAAAAAAGCAATGACATAAGTATAAGTTTTTTTATGAATTATGATTTTTTTTTTTTGAACTTGAGCAACTATGGTCATTAGTTATTGTAGGGATTATGGTTGGTAGGATTGGTATGGTTGAAACAGTAGATTAGCAACATGTGTATGTGCGGCAAGGTTTTTGCCACTACGAACCGAGGTGGTCACCCATTCGGTAACTAGTGGCAGCAGACGTTACTTACTCTCAAACACATTGCAGATTGATTGCAGCCACCGCACCACGCTAAAGCTCATTGATTAATTTTTATTTTATAAGGTTTTAACTTGTAAACATAAGTGATTATTATATATACTTATTTATGACATATTTATGTCATTGCTAAAAATATGGTAATAAAAGTGAGATGTAAATATATGTAATTGCTCTGAAACTAATAATTTTTTTTAATATTCTTTTTCTTATCTGCTCTTTCAGTCACTAACCTCTCTGTGTATCCTTAGTCACTCCTCAAAGGGTCAATAATTTTTTTTTAAAAATACATTGATTTTAAACAATATAAATTTAAAAATCACAAAAATCTTTTGATTAGCAAATTGTATGTGTTGCTTCTTTATTTAAAAAATACCAAGTTTTTATTAAATACTGTCTAGACTCTAGACACCCATTATCATTTTGATGTTCTAAATTACTGATTATTTGCTTAGGACATGACTGTTCCTTGGTGTCAGAAACGGGCAGAACTAGTTTTAAAGTGTGTAAAAGGATTTATGATAGAATCTGTATCATTAGGTGGATCAGAGCTGAAAACTATCCAGTTCCTAGTTCCAAAAGTGAGTGTTAATATATTACCGTTTGATTGTTTGGTATATTTATTAACTGAATAAAAATATAAAATAATAATAATATACTTAGGGAATATCTGAAGAAGTGTTTGGAATACTTGCAACAATGGTTCCAACTATATTCAGAGTGTCTACTCCACTTGTGTTTGAATCATCAGAGCCAGAAATTGAGTCACAAACCAAGAACAAAAAGAGTTCAAAAAGTAAACGAAACTCTAAATCCAAGTAATTTATACTCTTATATTGATCAAATTATAAATTACTAGTTAAATATTAGTATCATTTTCATGTACTGATACAAAACTCACATTATTAAGTATGTTTTATTCATTTTAGAAATATATCAAATTTTGTATACATTTTGTAAGTTGTTCTATTATTGACTATTGTTATCATATTATTTTACTTCGGTTTATTTTTGTAAAATTTGTTTTTTTTTTATTTAAAATAAAAGTGAAATAATATTAATTATTATTTTTTACCTACTTAAAATTATTGTTATTTTCAATATAATATGGGAGTTTTGTTTGTTGTGAGTTGTGATGACTCAGGACTAGGTTAGGTTAGGTTAGGTTAGGGTTAGGTTAGACTGGTTGTTGTCCTAAATGTTTGCTAATAACTAATAAGTATAAGACTGGAATAACATTTTATTCTATTTTAATAATTTATGAAATTTATACAAATAGTGATCATAATATAATATAGTAAACAAAATAAATTGTTTTATTCGATAAAAAAAAAAAAATGTTAAAAGAACACTATACCTGCATTTGGTGTCTGTTTCATAAACTCGTAACATAGAAAATTGTACGTTTTGAATAATACCTCTGTTGTATTTACTCCAGTTATGTTTAATATTAGAGTGAAATGAAATTTTATCAAATTTAAACTGATAATATTATCTAGTAAATCTCGTAGATTTTAGATTTTAATTTTAAAGCGAATTATAATCATTTTCAAATAGTAAATTTTTTGTTTATTTTAAAATGCTCGCTTTAATATAAAAATTTAAAAAAAAACCACGAGATTCACTAATTAAAATTCTTATTTTTTTATTTTATAACATGTCAATTCCCTCTATTATTAAACATAACAGAGTTAAATGAATTATTCAAACCATGTATTATATTATGTTATATATTTGATGTGTTAGATATGAGTGTAAGACAGAGACAATACATACAAATGCAGTGGTCCTATTAAAACTTCTATAATATTGTGATTTTTTAAATTTGTATTCAATTAGTGTGTATTGTGAATTTAGATTGTAATGAAATTTGTTGTGTTATAAATTAGGTTTGGTATTAGCCTGCTGAGATTATTAAAATTTAACTTGCTTACCAATAATTATTGCCCCAAAGAGTGAGGTAAATTTCTAAATGTGCGGTATAGTCTTATAGGCCACATTAGAGGTGAATCCGGACATTTTGCCATGAAACCTTTAATAGCAGTGGTCATGTGGAAAGGCTTAACCCCCCACCAAATATCAATACATATAAGCAAAAAATAAATAAACATATCATTCTTTTATTTACAACAATACAATACATTTTTCAAACCTCCTCACCCGACATTTTTCTATGCATTCGTCCCTGATTTACACACTTTGAATGTTGATGTGTTGCTCAATTCAAATGAAGTCCACTTTATTGCCACCATCTATGATTTGCAACTTAAATTTCGATAGTTTGTGCATAAATGCTCAGCTATACATCGTAGGGTTATCTTTAACCTAATTTTGAGAATGGTATCCCCTCCCCTCAGTGGCGTATATACATATTATTTTCACTATGGGCCAATTTTGGCAATTTATCACTGTTCAAACGTAGCACGACTAACATAGCCATAACTATACATATTTTAGGAAGCTGGGTGGTTATAATTATGAAATATACAATACAAATAAAAATTGCAAAATTTAATTTTATAGTTATGTAAAATTAATTCTTTAATTCTTTTTTAAAAAATATTGAAAATTTCATATATAAATATATTTGAATGTTATCTAACTGTGAATTTAACATCAAAGTCATCAAAGCAAGTCCTGACAATCATTTCCTTGTTGATTCCTCAAAAACGATTTTAATCAACAGGCTAAATTATTCATGATGAAAAACAGTAAACAGTGGAGACTGGAGATATACATGAAATGCTTTAATTGAACCTGCAACTTCACTATGGGTTCTAGCCTAGGGGGGCAGCCCCCTTTATACGCCACTGCCGCCCCTGTTGGTTAGTTTGTATTTTATAATTATCCACGTTTATAAATCTTCGACAGACCGACTGTTTATTCAATAAACTTTATTGTAAGTATTATTTCACAATAATTAGTCTATTTACTCTGTTGGGCACTACATTTATTTCGATAGCCTCCCCCGTAGGCCCCAATAATTACGTTCGTATCGAACGTACAGATAATATGTGAAATCCAACGATATTTGGGCAAACGCTGCCCTCCCCCTACGCGTAGGTATTTTCATCGCGTCTCTCGTAAGCCGATGTGAACCGATCGAACCAACAGGTGTTCCGGTCAGGTGGGGGTGGGGGGGGGGGGGTGATGCTGTGGTGTAGCCGTTGTACAGGTGCAGTGATGTCGTTGTTTCCATGGGAACCGTGTTCTCGCCGCGCTTTCCCGCCCGCAATCACTTGTCGTATACCGCGTTACCGCGTTGTCGGTGGCGTTACCGCGGCGCCCGGCACGTCGGCCCGAACCAGGCTCTAACGATCTGCCGCCGACCCACGGCGACGGCGACGACATCCTCTCGCCACTCGGGCAGTCGGGCGCTCAGTCTTCAGGCAGTGTCGTAGCTGCGATGTGTGCCGATGGGTCGTCGCCCGTTGCAGATCGCACGGGTTGTGCATCGCTCGTTTCCGTTCATCGTGCGCGGCATGGATCGTCAACGCTAAAATAATGTACGTCGATGTTGGTGAGCGCCTCTGGTCATTGTTATAACCGTGTGTAACCATCGCGCGGCGTTAAATAATTTTCGTTCGCGCCGTCTCCGAACCGAATGGTAGGTCTGGTAGACGAGGTATACTATCATTGATTATAAATACTATATTATTTATGCGCTTAAATACTAGTTTATTTAAAATCAATGCTACTATGTACCTGCATGGCCGTACACAGTATAAATAATAATAACGTATGCTATAAAGCGGGACCCAAAATACTCCAGACCGCGTGCAACGATTTGAAAACATTGTATCAAAACGTAATATAATGTTGAGGAATTTTTATGTCATACCACGACGAACAATATTGCGTTTCAGTTGTGTAATTAGTGTTCACAATATTATTGTAATACGATTTTGTACAACAGTATAAATCAATATAAATGATTTGTCTCCAAATGTGTCGAAGCTTGTTGCTTGTGAGAAATCCACAGTTCTTATCAAAATATTTTTTCAGATATTCATCTGTATGTTCACATTACACATCCAATTTTAACTTTAATTCATACGTATAAGATAACTAATATAATAGATATACTAATATAAACCAATTGTTTAAAAAAAATTACAATAATAGATTGATACAACGTTTTGTTTATTGTATCGATTTCTATCTTTAAGTGCTTTTATACAGATCATATATTATGTTTTAAATTTGTTTATCATAATTATTTGACCATGTATAGTGAACAATGAACATAAATTGACTCCAATATTAACAGGATCTTTTGTTCCAAACTGTATTAGGCTATTAGAAATATTATATTTTTTTACTCATTTAAAACATTATCCGCTTTTTGACGAGTACCTAGTATACTACGATCATGGTTAAAACTGACGATTTCAAAGGTACAGAAATATAAAATATTTATTATTACCTACTTTTATATGTATATGTGGGGTGCAAAATGGTATTCGTCGGGATAATATTATTTTACTTGTTAATTCAAAACATATATACATTATAATATTTTATACAAATACTTATGCGCCAAACCACCGACTGATCAAATTCGACCACCCATACCAGCCGTTACACCGAACACTGTAGCTGGTAAAATCGTTTTCGATCAATAACGTCGTTATACCATTGATTAAATATAATATATTAAATGTATCGATGGTTATACAATAATTACGGATTTAAGTATACGATTATTATATACCAATGTATATTGGCTATTACTGGTCTGGTGGTCCACATAATTTTTATGTACCGTATCTAATGACGAGGTTGGGTTAATTAGTTGTTTGCATAAATTACAATGTGTTTACCTAAGTAGGCAAAGGTACTATAGTTATACAATGGTCTTGAGATCGCTCTTGAATTTAAATTAAGTGCGGGATAACCCATACCTGTGTATGTTGTACGACTTGGTTATGACTTATGACAATACTGCCTAGTTTAAAAAAATGTGACATAACATTTTTAAAAAAATATCGTAGAACAGTAATCTACCGAAATTGCGTTATTACTAAGTGTTTCTGCAGACGCGTAATTTTTGATGAATATTAATTAGACTTTTTTCAATACATGCATTTTTAATCTTATAAAAATCTTATCTTATGATATTGACAGACATTTCCTTTTAGTTCGGTTCAAAAGATATGGAACATGCATTGCTTAAAATTTCGCCTAAACGCAATAATATGCCAACTATTTAAGATGTTCTCCACTACACATTATGTCCGTTTAAATTTCATAAACTCACCATAACTTAATCCGCACATTTGTATGATACTTCTACAGTTCTACTTACTACTATATTATAAATCACAATACAGTAGTAGTTGTACACCCGTCTGGTTATCTATGACTCCTTCTATACAACAATCTTTATTCAATAATGGTTTCTGTAGTTATCGTAATATCGAGATCGTAAATCGTGATGACTAATGGTTTTGTGTCGAACACTGGACGAACAATGCTCTGCCACCGCCAACCCATCGACCGGACCATAATAATATTATGCATTATTCTAAAGATTATAGCAAATTCCGTAGATTAGATTATTTTGTAGTATTTGTCAATTTATTGGTACCTTCCTAATCGTAATCGTACTATTGTTATTTGACATTAATTATTGTTAGTCACGATCTAAGGCCCGGTTACCGGTGTTACACAATATCGAAATTCATGTACCTATTTAAATACTACCGGACAAAATAATAATTTTATTGTAACGGAATTTGAAATGTTTACACCAGTTTTGATATTGCAGAAAGTCTGCTGTGGAATATTCGCTTGTGAGTTGTGACTACCTTCAAAGGTCAACTATCTCAAAACGCACGTGTATGACCATGTGTCCATGTGGTGATTTTTTCCATAAATTCCGGAAGTGTCGATTGCGTATAGGCGCCCCCATCTTATTTCTATTGTTACTGTGATCCATTGTTATTGAGATTTCAATAATACAACAAAAGGGTGCTATAGTAAATATTCCTGGTTACAATAATGTAGTCTACGGGTTTAGGTACAAAGAATAATCATTGTAGATTTATTAGCAGTGATTATCCCTATTTATTTAATCGATTTTATTAATTTTTTTTGCTTATAGTATTATTTTATTGGTAGGTACCTATAGTTAAATAAAATACAACTGTACATTTTAGGTAAATCAGAATAAATACCACTCATGAAGTTCGAAAACAATTAAAATATTAAATAAATAATTGTCTTGTTTCATGCAGAAATGTAAAATTACTAAAGTTGATGTCGAATTTCGTTCGAGACACAAGTTAAACACAGTGTGATATTTTGTAGACACAAGAGAAATTAGCGGTTGCTAGTTGGGTTGTAAAACATATTTTTATTTTAAAACTGAAGACTGAAGTGTAATGTGTTTAGCTTCAAAGCTAGAATTAAGTTTTAGAGATGCGTATTTTAGACTTTCCATTAATTTGTTTATGTTTTCAGGGCAAAATAACTGATGGTTGGAACTTGGGAAGAAATTAATTTGTAGTATTATAAGGCGCCTACTACACACTATTATATTTTGTAAATTAAGTCTTCAATTTGTTCCCTGATTTTATCAAAATGATTGACTGGTAAATATAAAATTGTATTTAATTTCTTTCATTAATTAATTATATATTTTTAGACGATTGCATAAATGTTGCATAAATGTTGCATATTTATTATTTTATGAATATTAAATAAAAACAATTTTATGTTATATTTCATTTTTTATTGTTAATTGATAAGTTAATAAATTATTTTGAGACTAAAATAATCGAGCTATTGGCTGGATAAATTATTTATTGTTTTCTAAATGTTTTATTTGAAACTAAATTTATAATTTTCTATGAATGTTTTTTAATGAATAATAGGTAGGTACTTTACAATTTTCGTATCTAAATCTTTATAAGCTTAATACAATTTTCCAAGTATTTTTATATACAGGTATTTTCATATGCGGAATTAGTGGGGGGAAAATCCCTAATTGTTGTGTAACTCTCCAACACCTATAAAAAAAAAATTGAAGATTTTTCATATTTACAACATTTTTTTAGGGGCTTTGTTATAGGTACCAGAAAGTCTCATAAGAGTCGACCTCAACTTCAGTTCCCCCCTCCAAATTTCAAACATTATATTTTGGGCCTATGTGTATAATATATATCTACATTACTGTATAGTTTATACTCTTTCGCGTTGTATATTTTTAAATGTTGTGTACATATTTATATTTTATATTATTCTACAACATTTTTTGAATGGAAATCTGGGATCTAATAATAACTATTAATATTATAAGGTTATAAAGATATTTATAGATTATAATATATAATATAGTTGATTAATTTAACAATTCTAAAATCAAAACAATCTAAACAATTTTTGTGTGATAATTGTTAATATGATTATAATTTATGAGAATTGAGTAGTTAGTGATATGTTATTCTAATTGACATAGGTAGGTATTAACTTTTGTGTAGTATAGCCGTTTAATTTATTATTTTCCTGATAGTTTTTTTATAATATATTAAAATGATTTCTGTATATATACATAATACATACTTACATCTACATGCTTTAGAGTTTATCTTGTATGACATTATTGAAGATGTTGATAGAATTTGTATAATTATAAATAATTGTACTTAATTGCTCATAACTCATAAGTTATAATATTTTAATACTATAGTTTAGTTCTCGTTAAAAAATGAATTTTTATGATTGTATAGTCGTGATATATAATGTCTGTGCATTTAATTATTATTACTTAAAATGAATTATTATTTGAATTTAGTATTTTTCTTCAAAATTTGTATTTATTTTTTCATTTATTTTTATTTACATTATTTTAAAAATTATTTTAGGTACGTGAAATTATTAGTAAATCATCCACGTAAAGTAATAGCAACTGTGGTGTTATTATGTAGTACCACTATTCTTATACCTTATTTTATTGGACGCTTACCAGAGTTTTCACATCCTGAACTTGTGAGTATTTAAAATTTTTATATTGATTTAAGAAATTAATTTATGATTTATATATAAAATGCTTATTATATTAAATGTATCAAAAAAATTAATATTTATAAGCAGGAAGTAGTTGACTTAATTTATGAATATTTTATATTCATTGATTTTGTCCATGATGTTTGTATTTGACATTCAAATTGCTTTGTTAGATTAGATAATGTTATGGTTGTGAAAAAAAGTATAAAAGAACAAAGTAAGAGAGAATCCACCCTTGGCTAAATGAGTAGAGTAATATTAGAATAACTTTAAATGGAGTAAACACCTGTTAAAAATATTTAAATACCATTATACCGACATAAAAGTTGAATAAATTCAGGGTTTTTGAGTAAAATCAAGTTGCTTTAGTTTTCATTGATATTTAATTTATTAAATCCAGAATATACCTAATACTGTAAGCTACACTATACAATTTAAAATTTAGTTATTTAAATAATGCTTTATATTTTAAACAGGGTTTTGAGACACGTGGTACTGAAATTGGTAATCGTCAAGTTACTTGGGACAATTTAATTAAAGCATTAGAAAAAGGCACAGAGATGATAGATGATATTACAAGAATACCAACCAATATATTACCACAACAATATAAAGATATGGACTATAAAAAAAATGATGTTTTAGTTAATTATGTAAGTTTTTCTTAGTATTTTTTAAATATTTAAAAAAACTTAAAATTCTATGAATTTAAATTAAAAAATTATTATTCCTTTGGATAGTTTAGTAAACTAAGTTAATTATTCGATTTATATACAATCAGTGGTGTAGTGGAGGGTACACACGGGTACACTGCCTGTACTCACCTCCCAATTTTAGATTAATGCGTGTACCTTTAACGAAAATCGTGGTTTGCTAATACACAGACCATGAACCATACATATTAACGTTACTCAATTATACTTAGTCATTAAAATTTATTTAGGAAATATTATTGGGTAATATAATATATTAAATTACAAACAATAATTCAATAACATAAAAAAGATAAGCTTAATTTGTTTACTATAAATAGTTATAGTAATAACATTTTCATAGAACAATATAGAAGCGAAACTCGATCAGCTAATTAGGTTTACGTTTACCTATCTATGATCTGAAGTCTGAACCTAGGAAGCGAGCCCGTTAACCAACATGATGTTACTATGTTAGATCCTTGTTTACCTGCATTCAGAAAAGACTATGTCGAAAGTTGGTTAACCTCACATAGAGATGCTGATGACAAGTCAAGAAAAGTTAATATACCACTACAGACCCAAACCAAGACCTAAAATATAAACTATGGGAATTACTTGAATTACATAAAAATGTTTTATAATAATAAAAAATAATAATAATATGTTTCATTAATTTGTTAATTATATTTTGAGAAAAATTATAGTTTTGAATTTTTTTTAATGGATTATGAGTTTAAAATATATCAATCATAATTTATAAGGTTCTATTGTATATTATATAGACAAATAGATGAAGTATTGTACGAGTACTGAATAATGGTGGAGGATTGGGGGGCTTGGGGTGGCATAGCCCCCCAAGTTATTTTTTACAATGATTAAGGCGTGTACCCATGAACTTTTTTAGGACTACATCACTGTATACAATACTATCTGCATTAAAGATGTTGATCTATGAATGTTTAATTTTGTACATTTAGTTTACATAAGAGAAGTAGACAAGAATTGAATATTATTATGTTTATATTTTATTAAATGTATTTTTACTACACTATTCAGTTACCATTTAAAATTTAGTTGCTTTTAAAAAAACTTTTATTTATGTGCAATATTCTATAATGTTTTTATTCGTAGAAGAACTTGAACTCTTATTTGGAATCTACAAGTACAGATTCAAAGAAATTTCTACCTCAAACATCTCCATTAGACGATGAAATATTTGAAGAAACTGAAATGATGACTCAACGAAATGATAAAAAAAGGCGAAAGAATAGATTAGATTTTTTTTGTTCCAAACCAAGTTAGTAATATTAACAATATTTATTTATAAATGCTTTTAAACTTTAAATTGAATAAATTATTTAAATAAAATACCTATAAATATAAAATATAGATTATTATAGATAAAGACTATTGGTTTGTGCATAAGGATACTAAATACAGTGGATTCCGCTTAATGTGGGCACGTTGGGACCAGCTCTGTTTGCCCACATTAAGCGGTTGCCCATAAAAACCGAAATTAGTTAAAAAAAAAAAAAAAAAAATTATAATACAAAAAAGTTTTTATTTTTATCATCATATAACTGAAAAAAAGTGAAATAATTACTATATAAATTAAATTTCCAGGGAGCATTTTCATCAAAAAAAAGTAATATAAATATCAGATAAGAAAAATACTCTATATTTTTTTTAAAATGTTTATTATTTTTAGTTCATTTTGAATTCAAAATAATTAATACAATTTTTTTTAGTAATTTTAATACAAATATTTATAGTATTTGTATTAAAATCACTAAATATAGCTCATTTTTTTTGGTTAGGTATATTATATTGCATATTTCAGTATTTTTCAGTGTTACACATCCGACATCGGTGTCTTGTATAAGTTGTATATTATAGTCAGATGATAATAAGAAAGTTCTTGAAATAATATATTTTTAATATTGGTAAACATGTTTTGGGAATCAGATGTGTTTCAAAAGTTTTATGTAATCCTAATATTGACTGGAATATGTTTCTGTGAAAATTTTGTGTATAGAAGTTGGAAGTCTCAATCATCAGCATATAGTTTTAACCATTGGGATGGTAAATTATTAATGGGAGTTTTATTTTCAAACACTTGTTAGTTAGGTTTACTGGGGAGATTATCATCACGAGTCTGTGAGGTCGAGTAGCTCAGTGGTAGAGCAATCTTTGAACTTTGATATGGATTAACTTTGGGTTAAATTTATGTATTTGGGTTTGAAAATTAAACCAAATCATAACATCAACATCTCAAATTTGTAATTATTTAGTACATTCATAGTTGTATGTACCTATTGTAATTAAAATTTTTATTTTTATGATTTTTTAGCATATGATCACGCAAGGGTGGTATTTACACCCAGTGATGGTGAACATCTTTTTACATACCAAGCAATCAAGGATATGTGTCTTATACAGCAGAATTTAGAAAATTTGGTAGCATATAAAGATGTTTGTGATGTACAAGACCATACATGTTGCCCACCATGGTCTTTGGTTAACTATATTACGTTGTTAAGAAAACATAAGTCTTGCTCAGAAATTACAGTAATTTGAATAAAAATTATTTATTTTTACGTTTAAATACTAATTATATTACATATTATTATTTAGCCGAGAGATATTAATGCAACAATGACAATACTTGAAGGATGTACTCATTTTTATCATGACAATAAGTTATTTGAATGGCAAACAGATCATACAACAATACCTCGTCAATGTATTCAATTTAGTGGTGTTTATAATTTAATGCATTATCACTTGGATGTAAATTTTATGCCACCACATGTAAATCAATTTTTTTTTGTTACATTTCTACATATAGTTTTTTATAATTTTTTTAAAATTCTTTTAGGCTTCAACAAATGTTTTAACAAGTTCAATGATGTTTTTACCATTTGGAAAAGGATCAATTGTCCATGTATATGAAGCAATGAAAGACGCTAATTTATCAACGCCATTAGTTAGAATTTCAGCAATTGATTTTGGTAAGAAATATATTTTAAAATAACTTTCAATAATATATTATATTTATATTTATATTTATATTTTTATATTTATTTTAATCATTTTTAGGTATTAAAGAAAAGTTATTTGATCTTGAGCTCGTCAGGGATATATATCTAATTTTCCTGAGTATTTTTTTCATTATGTTATGTGTATTGTTTTACACTTGGTCAATAATAATTACAATTGTGACCCTATTGAATATACTATTTTCCTTATCCGTTTCCTATTTTATTTATACATTTGTGTTTCAAATAAATTTTTTTCCGTTCATGAATGTCCTTGCCATAATTGTACTTATTGGAGTCAGTGCAGATTCATCATTCATCATGTGTGATGTGTGGAAAGTAATCAAGCTCAATGACCAGGCTGGTTCTTTGATTGATGTCATTTCTAAGACATTAAAACATTCATTACTATCTATATCACTATCCACAACAACAACATTTTGTGCTTTTGCCTCATCATTTCTCAGTGCTATAAATGGAATTAGTTGTTTTAGGTATGTTTATTAAAATTATATTTAATAAAAAATATTATGTTATTCTAATTATTATTATTATTATTATTATTATTATTTTTTTAAGTATTTTTTCAGCTATGGCAGTTTTTGTGAATTTGTTAATAACTGTAAGTCTACTACCATCCTGTATTGTACTTTTGAGCTCAAAGCACAGGCACAATATTGTGTTATTTGAAGTTGGGCCAGTTAATAAACTACTTTCAATGGAGAAAATGTTACGTGGAATTCAAACTTCTTTTAATGCATGGTTATTAAAAATTGTGTTTCGCTTTCGCTGGGTGTGGATAATATTATTTTGCATACTGGGTATTTTGAGTGTAACTATAATATGGATATGGCCAGGCATGAAACTACCAGAATCTGTGGAATTTCAGTTGTTTCGAGAGTCTCACCCATTTGAACAATATGATTTGGTATATAAAAATCAATTCTGGTTTGAAAGAATTTTAAGGGTAAGTTAACTATAATACAAAAATAGTTATTATTTAAAATGTGAATACAATATTCATAACATTAATTAAATTTAAATTTTTTAGATTGATAATAATCCAGAAAATCGTGTTCCACTGCGCTTTGTCTGGGGCGTGTTTCCCAATGATACAGGTAATCATTTGGATCCAGAAGATCACGGAAGTTTAGTTTATGATCCAAACTTTGATATAGCACATCCAAAATCACAAAGTTGGCTATTGCAGTTTTGTGCAAATTTACGTTTACAACCCTTCTATCGAGCTGTTGGTGGACCACAAATGACAAATTGTTTTATGGAAACTTTTGTTAAGTGGATGGGTCATGCTTGTGTAAATAATCTTGAAAAAGATCGATGGCCATGCTGTAATTCTTTTGAGTTTCCATATCCGAGAAATATATTTCATTTCTGTATTATGAAAGCTATGTACATTGTATATAATACACCAGTTTCCATATTTGTCCCTTCTGCAGCTGGACCTAAGTTTTCAAATCCATTATTTCATTCAGAAAACCAAACACTCATGCCAATCATAAAAGCTGTTGTTGTAGAGTTTGAAAGTAATTTTATTTTTACAACATCCTATACCGATATGGAACTCTTTTATAAACAAGTAATTTGATTTTGACTTTATTTAATTGTTTACTAACAATGCTGTTGTGTTTATTATGTTAAAATGGATTGTTTATAATTTAGGTTGAGTCGTGGTCATCTAAAATGATGGAAACTGCTCCGCCTGGCCTCAGAAACGGTTGGTTTTACAGTCACCTTGGCTTCTATGATCTTCAAATGACATTAATTGAAGACACTATAACGTCAGCTTTTATTGCACTTTTTCTTGCTTTTACCATAATGTTCTTCGTAACTACAAGTATTTCATTAACTGTAATTACAGTGCTCACCATATTTTTTATTATATGCACTACAATTGCTATGTTAGTTTTGATGGGATGGCATCTCAACGTCTTGGAATCAATCGCTACATCTGTAGCTATTGGTTTATCTGTTGATTTTAGTCTACATTATACTATTGAGTATCAGCTGGCTTGTGAAGATTCACCAAGAGCAACAGCCATTTCAAAAGCATTGTCGTTAATGGCTTGTCCATCATTAATGGGTGCAATCACAACTGGTGCTAGTGGAGCATTCATGTTGCCTTCAGATGTTTTACCGTATGCTCAGCTTGGCATTTTTTTGATTATTATAATGTTTATTAGTTGGTTCTACTCAACTTTTTTCTTAGTATCACTTTTATCAGTATTTGGGTCAGATTATGATCATGGTCCATATCCATATCGTTGTTGTAAGAAATTACGTAACATCAATATGAATGAAAGACAAAAGAATCGAGCAAGACACACTTCTCCTTTTTCTAATGTTGCCTCAGAATCAACAGTATCGTGTATAAGCACTGCTATTGTTAATCAATCTCAAGCTCAAGAGTTGGAAAATTTAACTGTTATCCCTGTCAAATTACAACCTTCTAACACACGATCTGTTACTTCATGTTTATATTTGAATGTTGATGATAATGATATGGTAAAAAAAAATGAAACTAATGCCATACACATTTAACATTTATCTATAGTTAAGTATTTTTGTTTGGTACTTGTGTGTTACTGTAATCCAGAAAAAACATGGAAAATGTAATTTTATTATTTATTAGGTACCTATCTAATATTAATAAACTATATTTAATCTCATCACGCTCATGAAATGGTTTAATAAGTGCTTCCTGTAGTGTGTTGTGGCCAGAGCAGATTTGCGTAGGGATTAACTACTGTAACTGGCAACCTTACACCCAACATTTACCCCCATCTACCCAAAGGGTGGTATACGCTTACCCAATTCTCCCCCCAATCCTTAAAGGGCATTTTTTGGTGGACTATCTATTTCCATATTTCCACCCCTACAAGTTTAGCTGCACCATAAGACCTTGAGTTTGGTGACAAGAGTCAGGAGGCGCAATGGGCAAGAACTTATCATACCTATTTGAATTATATTATATGTTCCCACCAGCACGTATATAGAAGTACCATCTACATTCTACACATAATACTAAGACAGGCTTTTTTCTGGGGTATGATGATATACAAGCGCCTATTGTTTTATATGAAAGACGAATTAATAATTATAACTATAGTATGGCTATAATTATTAAAACTGCTTGTGCTCAAATGAATGTTCATTAGTTAATAATAAATATTGACTTTATTAATTTGAGTGAATAATTCAAATGATTTATGGTTATCAAATATTTAGTTTGTTATTATTAGTTTTGATCTCTTTGTTTGTAAAATTATTGAGTTTTTATTATTTTATGAAATTTTTGGAGTTTTATGTTTGATGGCTTAATAATATGCTGTGGTTTATTATTATATTATATAAATATAAATATGATAATATATATTTATATTATATCCATGATTTTATTATATTATAGTTCAAAAATGTAATAGCTGTTATATTCAAATACAAATTAGTAATTACACTTATTGTATTCAATTATATTCATAATTTTTAATCATAAAAGACAAAATGTTTATACTTATACATACAGTTATATTATGTTTATTAGTTTATTGTAAAATAAAGATATTCCTAAATATATACTGTAAACAAGTCCATTTGACTGAAAGGAAAAGAGAAATTAATTGTATTTTTAAAAAAATATTTTGGCTTCTAAAAATATAAATTACCTTTTTAATCATAAGTTTTACCTTTGCAATTTGTATAACTATAAACTAAAATGTGGTCGAATTAAGAAGTAATTTATAAGTGAGATTGAGAAATATAACTAAAATAAACAACATAATTGTATTATTAATTTATTTTTTTAATGGATATAATATATTTTGTTCTAATTGTTATTAAAAGGATGTCAGCGCATTATTTCTTGTCTTTCTCTGACCCACATAGAAAATTTGTTTTCAGCCAAACCAATACCGTGTGTGTTGCTAGCTTTAGTAATAGAGTAAATTATCGAATTTTATGTTATAATAATATGTGTTTTTAGGTTGGATCATTATTTATGATATTTAAATTCTAAAGCAAGGTATGAGCATTAATCATTATTAAATTGTTGGTAACATTTCAGTATTTTACACTCGCGTAAAAATAGAAATATTTAAAATGGCCAACGTAAGAACACAATATTATATAATGTTCTTAACTTTAAGGTCGATGATAGGTCAATTCTCTCTAATATACTTCAGCTAACAACACAAGTTTGGTTCTGCTGATCGCAAACGTGCTGTGTTGCGGTCACATAGAGAAAACAAATAGTGTGCCGACATCTCTCTTAATAAAAATTATTTACAATGGCAGTGGCGTGCAATATTTTTCACTGTAAAGCACATACAAAAAAAAAAAAAAACCATTCACTTGGAGGCACAAATATCCATTTTTGCATAGTCTACGCCATCACCCTATACCAGGGGTCTCCAAACTACGGCCCGCCAACAAGTTTTAACCGGCCCGTGGCCCGCATATGTAAATACGATAAAAAATGTATTTATATTATATTATATTTATACCTATTTATTTTTATTTAAGTATATTGTAAAGTAAACAATATTTTATACAAAAATATAAAGTAAACATATTTATTTACCTATATTATCATAAAATTAAAAATTATATGTGTTCATAAACTTTTGGCCCGCTAAGAGCATTTGATTTTTTTTGTGGCCCTTGAATAAAAAAGTTTGGAGACCCCTGCCCTATACTATAGGTAGGTAATAGCGATAATGTCTGATGCCTCATTTCAAGCACTCGCCAGCACAACAATTATTTTTACAATTTACCAGTTGCGCCATCACTTGATATTTAACAATATTACAATAAATATTGCTCATTAGCTGCATTGTGGTTGTGCGAAATAAACTGTTAACAGTAGGTTGTAGGTACCTATATAAGTATATTTATGAATGTTGATTGATTTTCTTTATTGTTTAAAATATATAATATTGCGTTAATTAACTAGGTACCTATATGATATGTTAATATATAGTATAAGTACTAGGTACATATATAGGTACTATAAATGTATCTATATTAATTATTAATTATACATGGAATTTATTAGTATTAAATATTCTGTTTCGATGAAATATTGTTCGGAACTTAGAATAGAATAAACGAATACTTACAAGGAAGTAAATTTGGTTGCAATATTTATTTGTACATAATGTATAATTTATTACTACACCGTAATACCGCTGTACTTAAGTTATTCGAATTGTGTAATATTGGAGTTGATATATAGGTACATCCAACTTAAATTTTAATTTTTGCATAATTATGTACCTACGTATTATTATACAATTTAAATTGTGTCTTATCAGTTTTAGGGTAGGTACTCGTGCAACAGTGTCCATACACAATCGAAAATTAAAAATGTTTAGGTGAATACAAACACAGTTGTTTCTATAGATATTTTAAGTTTAAATTTGGAGTTTGGACGAAATTAGATATTCAAAGATGAATAATAATTTTAGTTATTTTGTTGTAATTTAAAAATATTCGTGGGTACTTGAAACTTTTAAAGTATCTTATTATGTTGTATACACACGCAATGACGTTTTATAATGCGATTTGTTTAGCAACAATTAATTAAACATTTAAAACTACTAAACCTATTGTATGATTCATGTCTATTAGTACAATTAATTACTTTAATACATAACAAAAATATTATAAAATAAACTTACCAATATTACTCTTCACTCGGAATCGTTTTTCGTATGCAATGATTTTACATCATTTAATTCAAATTCAACACATCCGTTACAGCGACCCATCTAGGCACCCATTGCGTACAGCAGTTCGGTACCCACTTGCCCAACTTTTTTTCAGTATATTCGTTATTAAATGCCTATTAATATAAAGTTTTTTTAAATTGGCAGGTTATTAATGGGTATACCGTATACTTTTATCATAATATTAAAGAAAACAATCACTAATAACAAATGTTTATAAAAATAAACTTAGGCAGGTATTGAAAAAAATAAACGTTTAAGTTTAATAATAATTCAAATTATTTATTTCTATGCGTCGCAGGAGGATACTGGATTGCCACCTCGAGTTGTATCCCAAACCAACCCCAGGTAATAGAGCTAGTAGGTAATATATAAACTGTTTTACATTTTTCCAAAAAATATAATATGGTTTGCCCAGCGATTTGTGTGGTCCAAATAGGTAGATAGGTACATTTCTGAAGAGTGAAGACTGAAGTGTTCAATGTTGTCCATAATTAAATTTTAGCTTATCGCAAGTACACTCCGACAGTTCGTCGACAGAAAGTGGTTGCTCACTATCCAAAACGAATCGTACCCCACCGCAACCAACTTGCAGCATCCTCGGTTCTCAGTTCCTTTCGCAAGCACAAAGCCACCTTATTCTCCCTAAGAGTAAAGTTGTTATGAATTTACCTATGTTACATGTATCCGATATTGCAGTATACATAGTCAAATACGAAAATATCTGAACACAACGAAAAATAGACGAAGAGGGTTAAGTGTATGAAAAATTGTTGTATTAAAACAAAATGTAGGTGTACCTTCAACAAATTATTACATTCATTTCAAAATACTATTAAAATTAAAGTGTCGATCACAGCCAATAATAGTAAATGTACAATGGTTTTTGTAGTTAGGAACTTGGGAGTAAAGTAGGCATATTCACATAGGTAGTTTATAGCATGTTTAGACTAACTTTAGATTAAAAATACAATAATTATTAGTAGTAAGACTATTGAAATCTAAGAGTAAAAATATTTAACGCTATTGTAGTAAACTAAACAATTAGTTTATTAACAAACGATTAGTCAGAGGTCTCGTTGAAATAGTTGGTAAAAGCTCTGGTAAAAAAAAATTATAAAAAAAGAATCAGATTCTTCTTATATTGTAATTTGTAGTGAGGTTGTCATAAGGGTAATCGGAATAAAAATCCCCCGGAAAAAAAATCCCCGGAAAAAAAATCCCCCGACGAACAACCCCGGAAAAAAAATCCCCGACCCTAGGAAAAAAAATCCCCAGCTACAATATTCCTCACAATCACATGCAAATGGTTGAACAAATATATTTTGAACGTTAATTAGTATCTATAATTAATATTTAATGACAAATACGTATATTATATTCTATTATAATATAATATACTATATTATATTGTTAAAAAAATTATAAAAATATTTAGAATGATCGATACGTCAATTAATAATACAGTTTAACTTAGTAAAACATAGTATACAAAAATATTATACAAAATATAGGTACCTATATATTTTATGTTGGTATAATTCTGTAAAAATTGAATCCCCGAAATAAAATATTGCGTTTTCTGTGACATTTTGACGATAAGCGGTTTAGTATATACCTTTGATAATATATAATATAAGGTAAAAGGTTACACCTACCTATCTAATCTGTAATGGGCTCACGAACATAATTTGGATACTCGTTATCTTAGCTACAAATTTAGCTACAAATTTAATATTACACGATACACAAGTACAAAACGACTACGCTAATACGCTATGGAAACGCTGGAAATTTTAAAAACTAATGGTAAAA